GATTGCATGGTTCACGCAAACCATCATGGTTGACCAGCTAGAATTCGAAAGCTTAGCGGTTCAAGTGAAAGTTTGAAAGAGGAAAACCCACACTCGACGTAGTCAAGCATGTTTAGACCAAAATACAACCTGCCTCCAACATCATGCGGACGGTGTTTACAACAAGATATCTTCTATTGTACATCTGCCACTATGACAACAATCTCAAAGTCTTCAAGCACTGGGATCAAAACATTAACATAGTTGGGAAACTGTCTCTAAAAATTGTTAATCTGTGGGTGTTTCTTGAGTTTAAACAGTTTACCTAATGGAATTATGTGGGAAATGTTTAACAAAAACATGTATACAAACATAGAGATTTCTAAAAGATGCCAGGACTGGTGATACACAGCCTCCACCCTGACAGAAGACTCTTCAGATTTGAGCAGTTAAGATATCGCCATCTCCTTTTAATATCTGCCACCCTTAATGTTGATTCTAAGTAATTGTTTGTTTGCAAGTGTGTTTACATGTTGACGTCCCCTAAGAGTTGGTCAGTAGACACCCTGACTGCCACTGGCTCCAGTAGACTGGGCCTGACAGGAAACGTGGGCTCTCCTGTGTTGTGATAGAGGAGAGTGGAGGGTGCTTGAAATTTTCTGTCTTCAATTGACCAAGTGGACTTCTGTCAGGGCTGCATGCTTGACCTAATTCCTTTGTCCATACATGAAGGCTTGGTCAAGTTAGTTTCGTAGATTCTGGATATTGGAAAAAAAAGGAATGCATATTATTTGTGCATAATAGCTACATTTGTAAGAAGTGAACTGATAACATTAACTTCAAGTGGGAATACCTGAAATACCTGTTAGTAGGAACACAGGTTCTTAGCAAAAAATCTGCTTTGCCTCCTTGTATTCTTATCCTGGTGCTGAACAGTCCCTCTTTGTGATTGTAACTTGTAATGTTAACCCACTGACATTGATTCCTTAGATACAAGTACATCAAAGGTCTTTCAAGTCCATCAAACTCAGAAACGTCACAGTGATTAGTTCAGCCTGTGAAGGAAGGAGGAAGGTGACAGCCAAGGCCTCCTTTCCTGTTTAAGAAACTGTCACTTAAGATCTGTCACTAAAGAAAGTGTCACAGATAACCCTTCACTGATTTCTTCAAAAGGTTTGAGATCTTGTGCCGCACAGGCATCAGTATACCTGACTCGTTAGTGCCATTAACACAGTTAACGTATCTTCTTTGTTTGAGGTTTGCTTATTACACAATTTGATTGCTCAATGGGAAGAAGGCAAACCAGTATTATCTCCCGGTTGTTTGTGCCATCAGTGGTACTTCATCTTCCATTCTGTGGAAGGTCAGACGTGTCACTTTTATCACTTGACCCACATCACAGGCTACTACAGGTCATGTATGGTTCACATGCTGGAGATACAAGGAAAACGTTTCGCTTGTCCTTGTGAAACTATTTTGGGCACCACAGATGTACCAACCTTGTAGATAGAATGTCACCATTGCCAAGATAAAAACAATCAAAGTAGAAAAGCTCCTTGTCCTTTGGACCTGGTCTTTCAGAAGGCTTGAATTTTTGTCAAGCTAGACAAGTCTGTAAGGATGGGTGCAGCACCACCATTTGACTATGTGGAGAACTGCAGAAATTAGTCCAAAAGATCGGAGGACTGGTCACTCAACACATTGTGTTCACCTTTGTGGATTTAAGAAGATCAAAAGCACCTACAATTTAGATACTTGAAAACAAGTATTGTGGTGATTGTAATGCATACTTTCGGGTACATAATTGCCCAAGAAAAGGTTTTATATTCCACTAATGAAATACAGAGGAGTCGATATCCGTTGAGGAATTCGGATCATGTTGAGAATTATCTGCGCTGAAGTGTGGGTGATATTGTGTCTGGGTAGGGCCTTTGGTGGGTCCTGTTTGATTACGTTGTATCAACGTTTCCTCCTCAGTTTGTTACAATGTATCCGTGTGGGCAGGTAAACACAGACAGGTGTGACTGTTAGAGCACACCTGCCGACCAGGGGGCCACCTGTTGAGTGATAACATGAATGCAGGTATAGCTGGTAACAATGGGAGAGAGACGTCCTTGGCTTAGAAGCTGAGCAGTGGCTTGTAACAGTGACTTTGATGGATTAAAAGCAAATAGTAAAGACTTGATATTGGCTGGCTGTGATACAATGGTCAGCGTGAATAAGCAAACATATTATGACAGACATAAGGGGCTAAAGGAGTTGATACAGAAGAGAAGAAATTAAGATGAGGTGGAAGTTACACAAAGATATTTGCACAAGGGCAGGAGGCCATGGCCATTAGGAAATGTTACATTTAAGGCAAATAAATACATGGCTGGTGTCTGTATTAAAGGTTGCTGCTTTGCCCAACTAGCTGTTCTTCTCTTGAACTGTAAACAGAGGGTATTCTGGTGCTCTTACTGTTCACATTCCAATTGTAGGTACCCAACATGAGATCCCATATGGATGATAATATGAACTATGTCCATATGTATTCAGAATTTCAGCATTGTGGATAAAAAGAGATTGTACATAGTATTTCCAGAATATATAAAAGTATAATAAAACACCTGTAACTTAAACTGTTATATGCAATATTGGGCTGTCTGGAGTCGGTTCAGCAGCAGTGGTCAAAAAAGGACCTCTAGCAATTTGGATGGGCACTGCAGGTAGCAATGCTTTCGAAGCAAAATGTTACTTTGAACCAAAGGCAACTCTTTCAAGTTACGGTATGTTGCTTCAGAAAATAGCTGGGCCTTTGACACATTTGACATCCTGGCCTTCACCCAGGCCCAACCATTTTTAAGGTGGCCCTTTTGATATTTGACTATGGCTGAATCTATTAACCTACGGGCATGTCAGGCTGCCTATAACATTTTTGAGTTGACCCTTCACATGCCCCTGGCCAGAGAGATATGTGGCTAATTTCACAGCTTTGAACTTCACCCCAGGAAGCTAAGTACTTTCGTATAAATCAATCAGAAACGTTCCACTGATGTGACAGAAGGGCTAGCTTTATGAGAACGCATGAGAGAAATGTTAAAAAGTGACTTCTAAATTCCCAATAGCTTTCCAAATTTTAAGTGACCAGTATCAGTTCTTGACAGGGTTTATGCCCTTTGAACTAAGGAACACTTTTAGTTCATATTGTCCCAATGAAGTCAAGTAATAGAGATCTACCTCCGATATCAAGTTCATGTAGGACATTTTTTATGGTGACCTTCATCACTCTAACGTCTACCCTACTTCCTCCCCTGGTAGGTGAGCTTGACACCGGAATTGACTTTTAATTAAACCCAGTGGGGCTACAAAACTGGCTGTGTGCTGACATGTCAAATCTCATGCTGTCAGGCCACGCGATTATGTTCTTTGTTCAATGTCTGTAGCAATTAGAGAACCTCTAGTCAGCACATTGTGATAGCAGAGGGATCTTTGATCCCCATATACAGGGCGTGCTTGCATCTTGGTAATCCCTGTTGAAGTTTTCAGGGGACTGGAAATTCCAAAGCCAAGCATAACAAGTATGTCATCTGTAGATTTAGTTTAGTCTGGGTTGCATGTTAGGTTCATATCCCTGTAACGCAAGGTTACCAGTTTACGTGCAGGACCAGTTTACGGTCAGTTAGTGACACGGCCACGCTTCGAGGTGTACCAGCCAAAAATCAATGGTCGTGAGCAACAAAGAATAACATGAATATGATCCTTATATGTGTCTTTTATTTATTCACCGGATGGGAATAAGTTTGCATTCAGCGAAACAGCAGAGTATCTTCCGATATGACGGGACAGCAAGGTAACATGGCCTTGGACGCATGTTGTGTTTTTCACATAATACAATACTCAACATGTCGTCGATTTTTTAAAATCCCAAGAATGCTAGGAAATTGTAACGATAGCTGGCATCAAACCTGGCTTTCTTATTTCAATCATCCATGGTGTTGTGAGGTATGAAACTTTCAAACACCTTGAAATAAACAAGCAAAAGTACAGTGGCAGTTCTCGCCGACTAGCGTTTTTTCGAACGCCATTTTGATCATCATCATCGTTGCATCAGGTGACGTCACGGTTTTAAACTGCAGAAAGGTACGTAAAAGTCGCACTGTGGCGCTGTTGCACATTAATTTATGCAAAAATGCCAAAATGGCTTCCTGCGTCCGTAGCGAAAAGTTTGCTCGGGTTTTCACGACGTTCCGTTGTGTCTGGAGGGGCATAGACGCTTGTTATCTATTGCAACGGTTTAATGGAACATCTTGGGCCATTATGTCACGTTCTACTAAGGGAAAAATGCAGGTCCAGCCTCATTTAGCACCACAGCGCTACTGCATGCGACAGTGGGCTACACACTGACATTTTACCGTGGTTTGTTGTTGACCACTTCGGTATTTTTTTGCAGAAAGTGTTTGTTTATGTGCGCTTATACGTAGAGCACTACAAGGACAAAGGTCCAAGTGACCGTTAATTGGTCACCCTAGAGCAATTCTCCACTGTTAACTACTAAATAAATAAAAGCTGGCACGGCACAAAAAACGCAGGGAAGAAATGACACGGCACACACTTTTATAACCGACGAACTACTGTTTCTTCACAAGGGTTAAATATTTAGTTCTGCCCATACATTTTCACAAAAAATGGAATTTTCCATAATTCGACCGTAAACTGGTAACCTTGCGTTACTACTATGTAGATGTACATGTAGAATGTAGCTGATCCCTGGTAATTATAACAAATCCATCAACATGACTTTGATACTTTCCATGCCAGTATCATATGGTACAATGTATATGGCTGGTACAAATATTGTAGGAAAAATTCTTTTGTCCCCAGCAGTAAATTTAACGTAAACTTTTAATTTGCATTATATTGAACCTACATGTAGCAAAGGAGGTTGCTGTCCTCCAGTTTTCTCAACCATACCTTACTGACAAGTGTGTGTGTGTGTGTGTGTTTGTTTGTAAGTTAATATGTTCTTCCTTTCTCCCCAGAACCTGTGTTCTACTTCAGTGAGGAGGAGTACCGTGTGGATGAGAGTGATGGGTATGTGGAGGTGCAGGTGTGGAGGACGGGTACTGACCTCACCAAGACAGCCTCCGTCACTGTCCGCTCACGCAAGACCAGCCAGCAGTCCGCTGAATGTAAGCAACACATTACATGAGTTTCCTTTGGTGTCTAAGAAGTTTGCAATGTCATTGTTCTATTGTTCAATCCTGTTTGTCCTATCGAAATTTGGTATGGTTTAAAGGGTAAAAGCAGACACTCACATTCACTGCCCAGTTTATCATCTGTTGTTCCCCGTCATCCTAGGGTACATGGAGACATGCTTGCACACTGATGCTGAGGCTTGATGGCAGCCTGCTAGAATCCACATGTATTTCTGGTTGCTCTTTCTTCATAAATCGCACAAATCTTTGTTAAATATTAATATCATGTGAATATTTTTTCCCACAGCTGGCCAGGACTATGTGGGTATCAGTAAGAACCTGGACTTCCCTCCCGGAGTGACGATGCAGACTGTACGCATCACCATCCTGGACGACCTGGGACAGCCGGTGCTGGAGGGACCAGAGACCTTTGACCTGGTGCTGAGGATGCCCATGAACGCTGCGCTGGGAGAGCCCAGCAGGACGACTGTGGTCATCAACGACTCCGTGTCAGACTGTGAGTACCTTGTATGTTTCCAATATGCTCTAGGTTAGTTTCTCTATGAAGGGAAAAAAATAAGATGTGCTGTAGTTGTTTTTCTCTTTGAAGAGATAAATACTATTATACATGTATGTAATCCATGTATTTGCTTCGCTTTCTGTTTCATCTTCTTTTTTCTTGGTATCATATAATTGGCATCTGATCAAGAAATTCCATATGATATTATCCCAATCTATTTCAAGTAAGAGAAGATGATTAAATGAGAATGAGAATATTGACAACTGCTTGTCATGTTTGCCTAGCGCCTATGGTCATCTAAACAGTTAGGCTGCAGTAATCTCTGCTGTAGGCGTCACTGCCAAGTAGATATACTACATCATATCAGGAATCCTTGTCAGGTCATAAAGTCATAATAAAGCTTTAACCAACATTTGACGTGTTTCTTCTCTGCCCAGTGCCGATGATGTCCTTTGCGCAGCCTGTGTATGATGCAGAGGAGAGTGATGGGCAGGTGACGGTGATGGTGGTGAGGACCGGCGACGTGAGCCACGCCTCCACTGTCAGGTGTTACACACGGCAGCACACCGCTCAGGTCATGATGGACTACGACGAGAGACCTAACACTGACGACTCCATCATCACGTTCGAGGCTGGTGAGTATTGTTTGTCTGTACAATCCAAGAGTAGACGGGTCCATGTCAACCGAAAATTTGGGGTAAGTCCCAATTCTATTTCTAGTGTTGGAAGTTAAAGTTTAGTCTTTATTTCATAATCCTGTGATATGTTAACCATTTAATCGAGTACTATTGTGTCTTTAGCTTTCTTGATTTGAAAGGCAGTCATAATCTTCATATTATGTGAATGACAAGTTGATTTTGATGTCTCTAGCTGGTGAGTGATGAAGATGCTTTATGTACAATGAAATGTAATCTGTGCCTCAATGAAGCACATAACCTCAGATGTATTCAGTATACAACATGTCAGTGAAGTATACTAAATGGCAAGTTTTAGAAGTAGCTTCAGTCCCATTAACCTTATGAGACACTGACTGTACCGATCAATTTTCTCCCCCTGTAGGAGAGAAGGAGAAGCCGTGTGTGGTTGTCCTGGTGAATGACACAGACTATGAGGAGGAGGAACAGTTCCGCCTGGTGCTGGGCTCTCCCTCCAGCGACTCTGCCCTCGCTGCCTCCATCGGAGCTCAGAATGAAACCCTCATCAAGGTCCACGATGAAGAAGACAGTAAGTATTGCCATACCTGCTGAATCACTCGAGAAATACTGTAATTCCTGATTTTTCATGGTACTTTTAGGTTTTATTTTTTAGTTTTCCTTTTTCTTCCCCCTCCCCATCTCCTGCTAGCCTGTGTTGTACATGTACTTTAAATTTGTGAAGTTATGCTTCAAACCTAAGATACTGTTCTGCCATATTATTATTTTATGTTTTCCCCACCCTTAATTTTCCTTACTTGTATTTTCCTCCCAGAACCAATCATCAAGCTGGGACAGGTGAAGTTCACGGTTAACGAACCCAAGTTCGATGATGAATATGCCATCGTGGAGATCCCAGTCATCCGGACAGGAGACACATCCAAAACCTCCATCGTCCGAGTTCACACCAAGGACGGGTCTGCCAAGTCTGGTCTGGACTACCTGCCGCTGTCTATGGGTATGACTGTGCATTTTTGTTGTGTCTTTAAGCCTATTGTACAATTCATTACATCTTGTTTAATAAATTCAAATGAATAGATGCATGTGAATGAGTTGCACTACAGTGCTCAAAATAAAGTACAATACAGTGCATTGTCAGGCCAGTTGAACCATTATACAGGACAATGTTACAAGATATTTTCCCTTCACACTTGTTGCTTGTTGGTTCATTTACCAACAAAATGACTTGACAAGTTGTCATGGTTCTGTACATGTATCTGTATGAGGTGTATTTGCTGTTTGGCACAACACACAGGCCATGTATAAGAAAGTAGCAACTGTTTTTATAACTTTTGGATGCACCTTTCCTTACAGAGGTGAAGTTTGGGAAGAACGTGACAAAGAGGATAGTTGAGGTTGAAGTCCTGTATGACGGGGAGCGTGAGATGAGGGAATCCTTCACTGTCCTGCTGAAGAACGACAGGAACATGATCGCGGAGACGCGGGACAAGAAGGCCATCATCTACATCGAGGAGATGAACAGGATGGCGGACGTGACCTTCCCGCTGCCTCCGCAGGTCGTGTCGCTCATGGACTATGACGACATGGTCGACGCTCGCGACAAACCGCCCGCGGGCTACCCTGTTGTTTGTGTCACTGTGAGTAATCATAACATTGTTAATGCATGGCTTTAGTTATCTGATAGTGTAGATACATAACAGGTTTATTCAAATGCAAATTTGTATTGAAATGAATTCTGTATGAATTCTGAATTCTTGATGGTCATGAAAATGCTGACATTGCTATTTTTGTGTAATAAGAATTACAAATGTACTATCATGGCAATACTTGACTACTTTAAAAACTGCTGAATATCAAAGTGTTGTACTTATTCATATTTGTGTTTGTTCCAGAAGGCAAAACTTACACTGCAAAATGTCTGAATTTCTTCTTTTAAAACATCCTATCTTCTTGTGCCTTTCATACTCTTGATGTGTGACTTGGACCCTTAGTTGTAAAAAAAAAGATAACTTTCCTATGTTTCCACCCTGTAGGCCTGCAATCCCAAGTTTACGGATTACGACAAGACCGGTTCCCTCTGCACCACAGAGAACATCAACGAAACCCTGACCAGGTACCGTTGGCGGGTGTCGGCTCCGAGCGGCCAGGACGGCGTGACCAATCGGCTGCGAGACGTGGAGTCCACGACGTACTTCACCAGCACACGGGAGATCACGCTGGACAGCATCTACTTTGGACCCAACAGTCGTGTGCAGTGTGTGGCCAGAGCAGTCAACAGTGATGGGGATCCTGGTATGTGTTACTGCTCAGTCTCTCATAGGGGATGGGGGCCCTGATCACCTACATGCAGTTATGATACAAAAAATCAACATCTATTGTCATAGTGCTGTTGTCATGTAACTCTTTTTTTAATCAGTAGACTTTCCCAGTAGGGCCATGACATGCAAGCCCTTTGGTGTAAAATTGTTCACTTTAGTTTGATTGCACAATTTTGGAGCAGTTTTGGAGAATCAGGACTTGATACTGTTACAAATATAACTTAACTGTTAGTGTTTAATTTTGTGGCCACAAAAAGATCATCTGGTCCTCCCAGTGATGTGTGTGAAGGCTTTTTAATATCCATACTCAGTTAGAGACAGTGTCAAACTCATGAGGCGGACTTAATATCAGTTTAGTATTTGCCTCCTAAGACAAATTACCATTCCTGTCTCAGGTCTGGAGTCCACGAGTGAGCCTGTGACCATCAGCAGTACAGAAGGTCTGTGTCAGCAGAGGGTGGCTGGTACCATCGGGGCTGATCCTTTCACTGCCAAGATGAGATACACAGGTAAACACAACACAGACAAACTTACAGGTACACAGGTAAACACAACACTACAGAATTACAAACTTACAGGTACAATTTTGTAGGTTATTATAGATCTGCAAAAGTCACAGGTAAAACTTAGTTTGTAAAACAATACAGTGTTACAAGCTTACATTTACAATTTTGTAGGTGAATATAGATCCACAGAAGTCACAGATAAAGCTCAGTTTGTAAAACAACAGAGAGTTACAAACTTACATTGTGCAATTTTGTAGGGGAATAGATTTTCATTAGTCACTGTGAAAATGGCTCTGTCAAAGATAATGTTACTCTACAAGCAGAGGTTGGATGGGGAGGTTGCTACCATCTTTCTATGTATGCAGTGCCATGAAAAAATGATACAGAAAACATCATATATGGCCTCCTTTAGTCAATATTGACCATTGTAAAATCCTATTTCATATCAGTCCTACAGCTTTGGCTATGGCTAAACTGAACAGAGGGTCTCTGCCACATGTATAGGACACATCTGTAAGCTGACTCAGGTCTGTTTCAGAAACCAAGTCACTAACTAACTGTTACAACAATCTTCCCCCCAGGAGCGGAGGACCCTGACCACCCTAACCTGATCCGTCTGTCCGTCACCATGCCCCACATCGACGGCATGCTGCCGGTCATCTCCACTCAGGAGCTGGCCAACTTCGAGATCACCCTGAGTCAGGACGGCACACGCATCGGCCTGCACAAGTGCTCCAACCTGCTGGACTATGACGAGGTGGACACCAGGTAAGGTAGACGTCTGTGTGATGATGTCAGATCATGTCTGGCATGATATAAAGATCAAAACCTAAGTGTTGATGTTGATGTATTCATTGTAAGGACTATTTCTGAATCAGTTCTTGGCTAAGTTGGCTTTAGTTGGCTAAGTTGGCTTTAGTTGGGAAAGTAATGTAATAGTTTTATAGATGTTAAGCCACTTGATATGTTGTCGTAATGTTTTGTCATGTCTTGTCTTGTTAGCAGGGCAAGCCTTTTGTAATAGCCACTGGCTAGTTAGTGTGAGGGTTGAACAGCCAAACCGAGAAATAAATTTAAAAAAAAACAACAAAAAAACACATGCATGATGTGTGGAGAGTTGAGAAACAAGTGCAGATCCTCTATTCTTTGCTTCTTCTTTCAGATATGGTTTCATCACTGACGAGACAAAGAACCCGAACATCGTTGGTGAGACTCAGCCTTACCAGTACAGCTCAGACCTGCGCGGGGAGAAGGCCCTGAGGTTCTACCGTAACCTGGACCTGGAGTCCTGTCTGTGGGAGTTTGTCTCGTACTATGACATGTCTGAGCTACTGACGGAGTGTGGGGGGCAGATTGGGACGGATGGACAGGTGAGAGAAATAACGCTAGCTGTTGAGTGTTTACAGTGGTGTTCTAGCCAGCCTGAAATCTTTTTCTGTTGTCTCAGTTTTGTTTGACATAACGTCATGTCATCAATGCAACAACACTAGGGAGTCAGGGGGCATGCTACCTCCAGAAAATTTTGAAACCTTACTCTTTGAAATTCTATGAAGTTCCTGCATTTTTGAGAAGCAAATTTTGATGGTAGACTAAGCTTAGTTTAGTGATGGATTTGGCAAAACTGTTGTCTGTCATGAGCAGCAAAATTCAGTCAAATGACGGAAAGATGGACGCTGGCTTGATCACTGGTTTACACCCCCCACCATTGCTGTACTGTACTGTAAATAATAGTACACATCATCATCAACAGGTCGGGGGTTCCCGGTCCCAGACCCTCTCCCTCCAATCCGCTTTACCCATCATGGCGCCCGCAAGGTATTCCTTAGGTAGCCCTACAGCCAGTAAAAGTTGGTCTATGTACGTCATGCAAGATTGCTGATATTGAATGTCTAACCTGTTGTGTGCCTTCCCTCCAGGTGCTGAACCTGGTACAGTCATACGTGACCCTCCGCGTGCCCCTGTATGTGTCCTACATCTTCCACTCCCCAGCGGCCGTTGGCGGCTGGCAGCACTTCGACTTGCAGTCCCAGCTCAGGCTCACCTTCGTGTACGACACCGCCATCTTGTGGCAGGACGGCATTAGTGCACCTCCAGAGGCACAACTACAAGGTATGGTATCCAGTCTTCCAGCACGTCATCAATCATTATGCCATTGAAGTACTGGAGCATATATTTGGAAGATGAAATTCAGAAAAGTTGAAAGAGTGTCTAATTTTTTTGTAATGGCACCCAACTTTCTGTCTGCAACAATTTCAACTTGTAAAGAGTAGCCACTACCAGGCTTTAGAAGTGTGCAGAAGGAGTAGAAATTGACCAAATACTTGAAATAGACAGCGAGTTGGTATCGAGCAGCAAATGTGCTCCTTCAGTGCACCAACTCCCCTGGCATGTTATCTGTCTTCTGGCCAATTTCTACTCTTTCCAGCTGCTTCTGAAGCCTAGAGGATGCTAGTTGCCTATTAAAAAGTGTAAATGTAAAAAAATGAGCAATGATCGGTACCTAATGCTGTGTGAAACATGCCCCCAGGTTACCTGTACCCAACTGGCATGCGGATCAACGGGGACGGGCGTCTGGTGGTCAACTTCAGGACGGAGGCCAGGTTCAGGGGACAGTTTGTTCTGGATCATCCAGGTAGGGAAATAAAATCTTCAACTTTGTATTAAAAAAACTCCTAACGATGGTGACCTCACCTGTATTGATTGGGACTGTCTGTTCATTTTTAATGTTTTTTAAAAATGTTATTCCTCTTTCTCTTTAGTGGTCTCATGATAATTGTGGCCTTATCTTTAACTTTTTTCCTCTAAATGTTTTGTCATTTTGCTGTACCTTTGTATCTGGCATTGGATAGGAGTAGTGAATAGTGGATTACCATTTCAGCACCAAGGAGAGAACTGTTCCCATTCCTATGTTATGTCCTGCTGTTCTAGTGTTGATCTAACAAAGTTATTCCTATCCTGTGACCTTCATCTAGGATCACAGCTGACCTCTATGGTGATGTCTGGAGAGAATGACCGTTTGACCTTCACCCTGGAAAATATCCGCAGCCAGACGACCTTCAACCAACCCGACCAGGAGTGGGAGTTCATCTCCGACTATGCTGTAAGTCAGATTTTCCTCTCCATGCCATTAATAAACATCAGAACAAGAAAAAAAGGGAGTAAAAACTAATGGCTTTGCTATCTTGAATTTCTAATGACTCTTCAGCTACAAGTTTCTGGTATGTTTTCATTGTCAATGTGGGATTTTACGATGTAGTGGTGAATAGTGGATTACCATTTCAGCACCAAGGACAGACCTATCCCCATTCCTATGTTATGGCAAAAAATGTTGACTTAACATGTAGTTATAGATTTTCATGGCAATATATTCCTCTGTGTGGCTTTGAAGGGAGAGATGTGAGGTTTATTTTTCCACCATGATTGTGTTTTATCAGTTTGGTATGTCATATTGAAAGTTTTTTTTTAACATTCTTAGGTAAGAGACTACTCGGGGACGTACCAGATCAAACTGGTTCCCTGCACCACCACAACTGACCAGACCTACAGTCTACCGATCGTCTGCACACCGCGGGAGCCCGTCACCTTCGACATGGACGTACGGTTCCAGCAGGTATGGGGACTACGTTGTACATTCCATTGGGTAATACCTGTGATGATTGGGATTGTTGGACTTTGCCTTTTAATGTGCTGCTCTGACTGTAGTTGGGAACAGTTATAGTGCAGTCAGTACGGTGAGAATCCTAGTGAGAATGACTACTCAAAGAACTAGTTAATGCAAATCAGTCATTTTGGACAAGTGGTCCTCTTATATACATTCTTTGAAGCATGGCTGATTTTGATTGTGCAGTGAACACATCTTTAATGACATTGTAAAACCAATGTTTGTTGCATACATTTTTGTAAAGCAATCCATGATAGATTCCCTCAGTTGTTGCAGTTCAGGGGATGACAAAGTGTTACCAAGTGTTATATATGTGTTTTGAATGAGGTAGATAAATGATTAAACCATTCTCCCCCTCCTGCCAGGTGTCGGATCCTGTTGCCACAGAGTTCAGTCTGAACACACAGTTCCACCTGCTGGCTAAGCGCTCCCTCTGGCTGTCTGATGGGTCCATGGGATTCGGGGAGGGCAGTGACACTGCCTTCGCTGCAGGTTGGTGTGGCAAACTTCTCAGCTTAGGTTGTGAAGAACAAAGTGAAAGGAGTTAAATGGCATCTTTGTGTGCCATGTTTTGCTATTTAGACTTTGGACCACATGATCAGTACTAGTGGTTCATATCCTGACTTCCCTGTCATGTTTGCAAACCCAGATTTTTATTCTCACCAGTAGAGACTACAGTCCTTTAGTGACATTAAAGTGTCTTTGGTCTCATGCTTTAGGACAACCACTCTGTGTTCACCTTCTTGCATACTCATTACAGTACCATGTAGCCAGCAACAACAGACAAGTGATGGACATGTATGTTAAATCCCCTCCAGGTGACACCATGTTTGGCCGTATCATGGTGGACCCGGTGCAGAACCTGGGCGACTCCTTCTTCCTGACCATCGAGAAGGTTTACCTGTGTACGGGGATTGAGGGGTACGTGCCCAAGTACAGCCCGGACGAGGGGGAGTACGGATGTGTGGCCGAGTCACCCAAGCTGCTGCACACCATGAAAGTCTTGGTAAGGACAGTATAAAGTAGAGTGGATTCATTCCTCAAGCTAACTGACATCTGTCACAATGCAGTTGTCCCTCGATCAGTAAGATAGACATTTGAGGTTGCATAGTTCTTGTTTAGAACTATCCTCTTTTGTTCAAGTCTTGAACAGCTTCTATGCAAGTGGCTACATGTACATGTAGTTCTCTTTCATCAACACTTGAATGTTGAACAAATAGCAGTTCAACTATGTTTGTCTCTATATGTATGCCTGGGTCTACAATATTGTACCTCTTTTCTACAGGATAAGGGAGCCCCGAACACAGTGGTTGAAGAGTGGAGCAGTGTTCCTTTCAATGCTGTTCTGGCGATTGACGACCCCTCGGCTGCCACGCTGACAAACCAGGCTGGGTCTGACGGATTCAGGATGGATGCTACACCACTGTTCCAGGTTAGAGTGCAGTTATGTTAACTGATTTACTCAGCAAAGAAGGAAAAATATCTCTTTTCCTGTTTATCCCTAGTATTAACTCTTTTAGGTTCATTTTATTGAAGCTGGAAACAAGCATCTTGTCAGAAAGCATTGTCTTTGAGATACTCTCAGATGTTTCTCCATATTTTTTTGCTGAAGACATTTCCCTGGATGAATGAGCACTGTTTTAGGCAGTTGAGGCTTGTATTTAGAAATGATAAGTAATCCATTGCTCTACCTTCCAGGTGTCCAGTGGTAGAACGTGGTTCATCCATGCCATCTACACGGTCCGCTCGGAGGAGAATCGTAACCGAGGGCTGAGGAAGCGAAGTATCACCTTCCACAGCATCACGGCGGCCAACGAGGATTCTTCTGAAATACTACTTCCTCGTTATCGCCGTTCAGGCACTCTGCCGCCGGAGGAGGTGGAACAGATTGGGAAGAACGGGATGGGCACCAACCTGCACCGCGTGATGCTGAACTTCACCGCCACGGGACGGTACAACGAACCCGACGACCAGATCGACATCGGGCCCGGAGACGGGAACTACGACATGGCGCCCAACGAAAAAGAAAACATGATTCCTTACATTCCAATAGCGGCTGTAATATGCGCCGTAGCTCTGCTCGCTTGCTGTATATTTGCAGTGTGTGCGTTCCGCAGGAGGAAAAAGCGCACGGAAACCAAGACTGTCACAACCGTTTATAACACGCCTAGCCAAAGCACAGACGCCTCTGAGGTGTGATAACAACGTAGGCAAACATATAGGAACATTTCTATCTGTAGTTGCGGCTAATCTTAGTTTGCGTAGCATTCTCGGCTGTATCATTTTGTAAAGGACAACGATTTTAAACCGCTTTTATTGTACATTACTAGGCCAGTGGATAATAGCACGCTTGAATTTTTTGTTTGAATATTTTATTCCAGTTCTTTTGTTGACATTATGCAAGCTTTTAATACTTCCAGCCAAACTAAACATATCTAGAAGAACAAATCATGCAAATAACTGACAGTGCCACAATGCTACTTGCTGGCACACCGCCACACAGTAACAATATGTTTTGTTGTCAGATGCTGGTATCTTTACCTGAACTTAATCTTTTATGTTTTGTTGCTTTTTTATAGTTACCAAAAGTTAGGTCTCGAATTTTCAGAACACTACAAAGGAAATCTGTCTATATTATTAATAGCCTTTATTCATCTTGGTTAAATGCACAGACAGACAGGCAGTTGACTGTAGTCATATGTATGCAAGTACTGAGAGGAAAAAAATGTAAATTTTTAAGAAAACCTAAGACTGATTACATCCTCTAACAACTCTACAGGCAACATAGTGGCCACCTGGAATTGTAACAAGTTGATACACAACTGTAACAACATGTAGCAACAAGATTGCACAACATGTGTAACATTGCTCTCAGGTAGCTGGCCGCATTCTTGTTTTAAGTTGCCAATGCTGTGGACAATCTAAGCTTGCAATCTTGTCAACTGAAATTGTAATCATGACTAAAAGATTCTGCATCGCAGTGCGAGGGAATTTATGATTATTGTAATATTTAGCATAATGTTGTCATTATTAACTTGTGCTTTTTTATGCTTAAGCCAATGTTTTTATATCTTTTAACTGCTTATTGAATTTGTGTAGAATTTGCTTGAAATGTAGACTTCAATACGGAAAATTTGCACACTCTTGTGCATGTATGTACTATGAAATCAATGCTGCTGTAATATTATCACAGTAATCATATGTAGAGCTAGAAACATCACAATGTGAATAGGACAATATGCAACTTTGTGGGAGTAGGATTTAGTTTTTATTAAGCAGCAAAATCATCTCATCTTACTTATACTGTATCACATTTAGGTAGGGATTCTGCACAGAGTGTTTTATTTTCATCTCAAAATCTAGATCTAGTTTTGTAGTTTTGTTTGTTTATGTGTCGTTTCTTTTGTATGATAAATGTTTCAGATATGATTGAGATTCTATTATGTGGATCTCCCTATAGTTACTGCCTCTGAGGCACAGGAATGTTTGACTCTTTTGTAATCAACAAACCTATGGTGCTAAAGTCTTGTGATGTACACTGTTACATTGGAAGGGTAGTTATACTACCTACATTGACAGCAGTTTTTCCCCTACTATTACTTGGTATGGTGGGCCATGTAACTACACAACTCTATCATTTCAAACAAGTCATATAGTCATGATTTATCTTCCATAGAAGGTGATATAATCTACCATAAAGTGACAAAAAAGTCAGCAACTTTGGAGTACCTGTCATCATGCCAGTATAAATGTTAAGGGGAATAACTGAACAACACTACTACAAACCCAATTTTGGAGATATCTGAAATTCCTTGTTTTTTATTTGGCAAACAACTTTAAACAAGTGAAAATCAAGCAGGGACCCTGTTGTCACCCACAAGATCAAGGATGTGGGGCCAAATGATATTATTTGTTGGGTAAATTAATGTTGCAACGATTTTGCAAATGAGATCCCCGATATTACTAGTATTCCATCCTATCTCTATACTTCACTCAACCTGGACAGTTTATGACAGAATAAACTTTGTACTGGAGTTGACAAACCTGTTGGTTGGTTTCTTGTTCTTATACGTTTATTAGTTTGTAGAATTATTACATCAGATCGTGATGTCCACGATTGAAAAGACATGAATATGTAAATTTAAGGTTCCCAGCATCGATGCAATTGGATGCACCGAAAATGATGCAAGGGAGAAGTCAAATTTGATGACAAATCTTTATTATTATTGACAATAGAGACCATATTTTCTGAGAGTTTGACAAATACATGATATCAGACTAATCGTCTGTAGTACATGGCATGACTTGTATGAGTGCATAGAAACATGACACAGAAATACGATGAACATAGCTGCATGTCATTGCCTTAAGTAGACATTTCTTTGCTTTTTAAAAAATATCCTCTGGTGGGATAGCATCCTAGTTCATTACTACAGGTACATGCTTCCAGTCCTCACTACTTAGTGAGCAAGCGTACAAGGGCAGTACTCGCATGTAGAAATGAACTAGGACAATACCCACACTACGACCTGATGATTGTGATATGTGTTGTTCACATGAAAGCAAAGGCTGTGTTACAGGAACAGGATATGATTAATGTTAGTTTTGTTTCTACAGGCATGATGATGAATGGAAGAGTATGACTTACTGTAGCTGATGCTTGAGAGTTGCTTGATATGACATCCAAAAAAATGTTAGTGCAAAGATGCATGTCACTTTGGCCTGAAGGTGCACAAGAAGTTTGTTAGTTGCCTCAACTCTGCAGCTTTGGATGAAGAAATGGTAGTAACATATAACATAGCAGCTACATTCAATACCTACTCATTTGCCAATACAGTTACTGTACATGTATTTATACAGGATGAACTGCAATTCAAAACAATCCTGCTTGCAAAACTGAGATACTCAATGTGCAGGCATATTGTTTCCATTATAAATCTTAATATCTACATGTACAATAGATCTGGCACGCTTTTTATTGCCCCTTTTACATGTATGTCATTTCCTCACTGAGGATGTACATTGAGGACTCTCATCATGAAAGTCAACCAGGACGAGCAAATATTCTAATACAAATTTATCCTGCATTAGTACTTCAGCAAGACCATTTCTTGTGACATCTTCTACTGTAAGGGAAGAATCCTATCAACAATACCTTATTATGACCAATACCAACAAAACAGAAAATGGAACAAAGACGGAATAAAAACAATCCACGTAAATAACGAGAAAACAAATTTGATACATTATTGACATTTGCTTAAATCAAGTCAACATAACAATTTCTTTTTAGTACAAAAGATGCTCAAACTATCTACTACTACATTGTTTGCACTGAGCATGAGTACTTTTACACCATCTACATTGTACACCTGTAAGCTTTTTGTGCATATACCATGTACACCATTTTAGCTACTCTCCAAGCAGAGGTTTGGGTTTTGGGGGTATTTTTAGCGTGTTTTTAGGCTGTTTTATCGGGGTTACTCTTTTGCACTGAATTTTTTTGTTGGGAAAAAAAATTCAGTGCAAATGAGAAACCCCAATAAAAAAAGCCCAAAATCACGCTAAAAATACCCCCAAAAGCCAAACCTCTGCTTGGAGAGTACATTTTAGCAACACCTCCAGTGAGGAGAGTTTTGTGTTCATCCCTGGCAAGTTGTATGTATAAATTGCACTTCTCCTACTTTGCTGAACAGCACACCTGTACATTCTAATTGAAACCTTACAGTAAGGCCAAACCGACTTGATTTTATGATGACATCCTCTATAGACACCCCAAAACTGAAGTGACTGAAAAAGGAGAAAAGATGGCCAAAGAAATCCCTTATCCTTGTTCTTTCGGGAGGTACAAAAAGTTTTCTTCTTTCAGAATTCAACAAAAATTTTAGCTTTTTAACAATTTACAGCATTGTTGTTGCAAGTTTTTGCCATTAGTTTCAAGGGGTGATGGCTTACTTTTTCTTTCAATGTGTAAACAAACTGATGCACTCTGGTGTCATGCATAAATTCAAGTTAGTGTGGCTTAATAACAGACATGTAATGTTACTGTACATTGCTGCTACCCTGCCAAAACTTCACAGGACATATACATGTACATGTACATTATGTACAGTCAAACAAATACCATCATCTGTGACTGAATTCTCTTGAAAAACGTCACCTAGCAGCAGCCATAATACGTCTGCCATAAATAACATTCCACACTATCCTGTTTCTTACAAGGTATCTCCTCTTGCCGTCCTATGTCTTTATGACAATATACCAGATATACAAAATGTACTTGCTATTGGAGGGTTCACTACATCACATTCATCCAATTTGCCAACTCTTCCCAGTAACAATATACTATGACTTTCATAATATGACTTTCAGTTGAAAGTCCTTGAATAATCTGTACATTGCCTTATGGAATAGTCACATGTTTTGCCCAATCAATTCAGATCACTTTTTATACTCAGTGATGTACTAATGAGAAGAATTTCATGCAGGAGCAGAAAAACAAATTTAATCCATAAGCCATTCAGCTTCTATAGGGCACATAAATTTGATTTGTTATTTAGGCCATGTTGTTTGATTATATGGATGACATCCTCCGGGAGCCCCAAAACTGATGCGCGCGTGCGAATAAAAAAAAAGTTTTGCAAAAAAAAAGTTCTTTTCATTATGAAATCTACGTGGTCATGAGGGTTGAGCAAATGGCACAGAATATGGTTTGGCGAATAATCTAGTCTTCAAGTTCATTTCTTTACAATTTCAACTTTTTTCGTTTGATTTTGGCATTCTACAACATTGGTATAGTTTTTATTAATTTTTTTTGTAACTTATGGTATATTATTTTCTCATTTTGCAACTGTTTTGTACGATTTACAGTATGGTTGAAAACTTTTTTTTTTTGGAAACGGACGAAAATTCATGCGCGCGGATGTCATCCATATAATCAAATCAACATGGCCTTATTTAAAAAAAGACAATGCTTAACTGGATGATGAACTGTCTGAAAAGTCTGGGGGGTTATTCTGTACCTTGGTTCAGGAAGTATCTGGGAGTGAATATCGATAGCCAAGTTTTCCTCTCAAGACATTTTGTTCTCTGAATCGTTAAAAATTAAATGTTTGAAAATCAAGAAATAAGTGTGGCCTTAAACTGATAAACCCTTACTCTGATTGAACAGCTTAACTCATACCTTATTCCCTACACATAGTAAACTATTTATTACATTTACGGCTTGGAGTATTCTACATGTAGTTGCACATAATTTCATTCCTCCTCCTGCCCAATGAAGAAAGCCGACAGGGCAAATATCAGGAACACCACTCCACCTACAAGGGTGACTGTAATGCAATGGGAAGGGAGCGGTAAAAATGCTATCGAGGTAACAGTACATTTTGCCACCAAGACATTTTGACATTATATGCTTGTAGCTTAACTTCTGTTGTTGTGAATGTTTAGGATTGAAGTTGTCCTAACGGCAAAAGTTCAATATATTCCTCCGGCAAGAGGTAGTCAGAGTTAGAAAATATAAATAAGATGCAGACCCAAAACAAGTGTAGTATACTCTGTGACACATTTCAAAGACTCTAAACTTCCAATCAAACAGTGCAATGAAACAGACTTCCCAACAAAAAATGCCTTATACAGCTTGAATATTGTACTTACAAAGTTACAAACATAAAGACTACTGGTAGCACAGAAACAATGCTTACACTGTACACCAGATTTAAGTTTGTGTGATACAGAAACAGAGGAACCTTACCTGTTCTGACAGAGATCCTTTGTGCTATCATCCTCCCTCCTATCACAGCTAGACCTGTACAAAGGGCGTGGCCTAAGATTCCACCAATGGTGACTCCCAAAACATCCTTTAAAAAAAAGGAAGCAAACGTGTGAAAAACTTTTTGATATATAGTAATAATTTTATTCAGAAATACTTTTCAAAAACGTTCTCAGTCATGGATTGCAGAACAAAGTTTCAATTTTACATTACCTGAAGTAACATGAATTATTATATAACCAAATGCTACTGAACAATGAGGCTCCATTTGCTATATCCATTATAAAATCAAGATTTGCTCAATGATTACTTGGTTGAGAGGAAAACTGGCTATGTTAGTGAGAACAAGACAAGAATATATCCAGATAAAGCTGACCTCTCGTGCTGCGAGTATGATAGTGGTGATCTGTGAGCGGTCGCCCCACTCTGCCAGGAATGTCATGACGAAGGACTGGAGGAAGATGGGAGAGAAGATTCCCCAGACTCGCCGCCAGCTGCCTCCCCGGATCACTCCTGACTCCGCGTCCTGCGTAACCGGCGTCCGAGACTCCATCTCCATCTGGAACAGGTAGGGAGGAAACTTACAGGTTACTGCAATGTATTTCCTTAGTTCTTGTAAAGTATAGATTAAGCAAGAGGACACAATAATGTTAGTCTGGATGCCAGACCCACAGCACACTAGGCTCAAAGTTATCCAGTGTGCAGTGGATAACTTTGAGCCTAGTGTGCTGTGGGTCTAGTCTTGTATCCAGGCTATAGTAATGTACAATCAAAAGTCCAATGTACAATTTACTTCTTGTAATCCTTGAACCTTTTCTAACACCAGACCCAAACAATTTCATTAGTGGTTATCCCCAAGATGATTGCTATACAGGGCAGGGCAGGACAGTAAGTTCCAAGCAGATGCAAGGCCTCCATTGGAAGTGTGCATCAATCATATTACACACAAAACATGCTAAAAATAGCATAAAAACAAGCTGTGGATCTGCTTGGAGACTACAGCACAGCACAGCAGATCGTAGTACAGGGTAGGACAGCGTTCCCCCGTAGTGACACCACACCTGTATGAGGGCCTGCAAGCCCTTTTTCGAAAGGCGTAAACAGGCCGTTTTAGACTTCGTAATTCGTAGGCAGCCTCCGCAAAAATCAACGTAATTCGTAATTGGACATTAGCCGCAAATCGTAAAGTCGTAATCAGCTCTGAGACTTAAACGTAATTCGTAATAGGCGGCGAAAATTTTGCGCAATTCGTAATCACTACCCCCCCTTGTAGGCCCTCCTGTATCATGTTACACACTCATGACCTTGTCCCCAACACAACCGTGTTGCCATAGCAACAGCAGCCACGCGTCCTCTCACCTGCCTGCCCGAAACATCTACGCCTTGTTCCAACAGAAGTTGTTTAGCAATCTAGTTAATATAATAGAGATTGAGAAAATGAGCTGGTGTTCAGTGAAAGACCATATGCCAAAAAAACACACAAGCAAAGATATGTCTGAACTCTGAGGCAAAATTATTATATGACAATAAGATGAAGGACCATGCAAAAATGAAATGTACCAAAAACCAGTAATGATGCAGTGAAAGAATAGCATAGTCTATTAGAACCGGTTCAGATGAACATGTTTGTTGTCTTAGGCCACACCCTTTAATTTTGAAGTTAACTTTAGCGATGAATTATAACAAACTAAATTGAAGTCTCCGGGTAAAACCACCAGTTTTATACTGCAAAAGTTTGTAAGAGAAATCTCTTCGCATTTAAAACCCACCTCTTCATCTTTTTGTTTGAGCTCTCTCTGTACTTCTTCAAACTCCTCCTGTGCCTCATCCTCCTCCATGTAGTACCCTTCCTTCAGCATCTTCAGCCCAAAGATCACAAACAGGCCGGTGGAGATGTAGTAGGTGTACACACGGGGGATGATCATGGTGGCAAAGCCCATCAGAGCTAAACATGGAGACAGGATCTTAGTACTATATATATATATATATAAAGTTAGTATAACGTTATATACATAGCTAAACTTTGTTGTAGCAGTAGAAGAAATACTGTACAATGAGCAAATATTTGGCTCAGTCTCTACTACAGTCAGTCCTCTTTTTTTGCCAGACTGCAGTACTCTCTACTAAAGTACTACTTTCTTTCCTCTTGTACATTTAGATTTGTTCCTCCTACCTGAGAGAATAGTCATGACAGCCAGCGCCCCCAGAGCGCCCACGAACACCGTAACACGGGAGTATCTCATGGCCATGATGGCGGCAATGAAGAACGTCTTGTCTCCGAGCTCTGACACGATGATCACGGACAGCGAGGCTATGAAGGCGTGGATAAAGCCAAGATTGGCACCTTTTGTGTAGGAGCCTACTATACTGTCCTGCTCTGCATTCATCATCCCAGCGTCTTTAGACAGGGCCACTGTGGAGGCAACTTCTCGCTTCTGTATCTGAAAATGACGATAGATCAAAAGTAGATGTATCAAACAAACAAAAAAATGCACCCAGGTACTACTACAGGTAAGTTTATGACTACAGACTACATTGTATTTAACATTGTCACGTACACGTAACTAAGGAAGATGTTTAATGATTTACTCAGAGTTGAGATAGCAAAGCCACATCTCTCAAAAAAGGTCTGTTGGTGACTGACAGTCTCTCTACTGGCTATTAAGTACATGTATAAAACTGTTGCCAAAACATGACATCTGATCAATCTTACATGCAGACCCTCCATTTGTTTTATGTATGGGTGTATTAAAACACGGGGTCACAGTCTATTGTCAATGACTCCATGTAACATGTAACTAGAGAAGAAATTATATGCTTTTGACGTCAGGAGCCAGACCCTGAGTGCCCTACAGGGCATCATATGACCAAATCTAATTTAAACTCAAGTCTGAAACTATTATGGGCATTGTCCATATGAAGTTGACTGTGATACCTAAAAGTAAACTAATTCAATAAACCTTAAGCGTTTTTTTTCACTTCCTTTAGTCTGTTTGAATGCAAATGTCCTACAATGGAAGTGGGATTAGCGTAACAATGACAGAAATCTCAGTTACAGTTTCGGCCACTTCTTCGGTAAACATCTTGGAAAAGTGCCACGACGTCAGTGAGTTATAGAAGCATGCACCCGGAAGTTGCTGGTTTTACTCACGTCTTGTATCGCCTTCTCCTGTTCCTGATCCTCTATGTCGAAGGGCATCTTCTCGCCCGCTACGTGCGCTATGGCGGCCAGCATCACGACCAGAAACAACACCTGTTGTGAGAGAACTAGGCTCAAAAGTCGTCGGAAAGCCATGGGCGCCGGGGAAGAAGGTGGGAGGGCGAACCCGCGGCCTACGCGAATCTGAGACATTTTGCCGGGACTCGAGCAGTCTACGTAAGACGATGTTGAGAAGAATCAAATCTGGCAGATCTTCGTCTTTTCTTACGTGTCATACGTTGCGGTAAGCGCCCACAAATGCCGGGAATCACAGCGAGATTTATCAAAGCCCAAATTTGTAAGCTTTAGCCGCCATGATGGTTTATACCATAGTTACGAGAGGGGTATCTGTAATATTATCTTGGGAGAATTTTCTATATTTTAAAATCAATAAGTCATTTAAAAAGATAATTACAAAAAATACCAGATATATATCCTGTACTGTAGTACATTGGAGTAAAAGTTTCCGTTCAATTTTCTACAACTAGTATAAAAATCCTTTTGGAGAGCAAGATAGATCAAAGATGTAATGGAATGTTCCATCCCATGACGTTTCGGGTTACCACAGGTCACTTGACTTGGTTGTGTGATGTTGCATGGTTGGGGGAGGAGGACACACTATTAAAAGTTGGTAATTTGAGAAATAATCATATATTTTCCACGCTGAAAAGTCAGCATGTTAACCATTCTTAACAATGTAAAGTTGTTGTCTGGTTGTCCTGTCAATTCTTTCATATTTGTTCCTTTTTTAAAAACTGATAAACTTTTTCTACATGTGATCATAATTTGTGATAGATGTATTATTATTGCACAATTCCCATGTAAACAGCAGAAGACATGTATGACAGTACCACAGACACATATGAGGGCATCCCTGGTCTACCCAGTGAGATGCAGGGAGAGATTTTGTACCGACTCTGCGATGGGGTGGCATTGGCAAAGGCTCGACAGGTAAGGGTACCGAATTATGGATTCTAAGTGACTACATAAAAATCAGAATTGCTGGGGTTATGGCTATAGAAAGTATTAGTCATTGGTTAGCCATATATAACTTCATCATTGGTTAAATGAGTGACGGGAGAGAACTCAGAGAAGGCAGTTGAGCCTGTAATGTCCACAATTTTGCCAAATGCACCTGATAACCCAAACTCTTCTCAGTAAGTGTGCTGGGTTCTTTAACCTTCAGGATTTCAGGATACAAATGCTGCCAATGATTAATGAAGTCTTCACAAACTAATTCTAACTGCAGGTTTGCCACCTCTGGAAGCAACTTGTTGACCAGCCAGGTGACAAACAGGTGTGGTACACTGTCTGCCGACACACCATCCCCACCACAGTCCTCCAACAGATGACTCAGTTTAGCAGGGAGTACTTCCTCCAGACGTCTTCTAACAAAGTTGCAAGGTGCTTTGAGTGCTCCCATGGAAGAGGGCAAGAACTTGAGGAAAAGAAGTCTTTGTTGTCCGGAGATAGACAGAAGACTGTAGACTGCCAGTGTGTCAGACAGGTGCAGCCGTGTGTGTCAGACCCTGTGGTGTACTGGAGGGGGGTGTATATGGAGTGGTACAGGAGCAGGTTTGCAGGGAAGTGGCCAGTGGTGAAGACCGACTACCATCAAACGTTTGGACCACTCATCAACTCCATAGCCATCTCAGGTGAGAATCATTACCAACAATTTATCCAACATACCTTGTGACGAAAAATTAGCCTGGGTGCCATCTTCCACATCCACCACTATAGTGGTGGCCAGCAACATAAGGCAGGCAGAGACTACGGTGGAACCCAGGCTAACAAAAAATGTCATAAACCTTGTGAAGCAATGACATTTACTTTTTATTAAAGAAATCACATGCTTCGTGCTCCATGCCAATTTCTAGGAAGAGGCTGTAGAGACTTTCTCGTCAACAGGGATAATTTTCACTGACACATTGCCATCCCTGCAGGAGACTACATCCTGACAGGCATGGGGAACGGGTCCATCCTGCAGTGGGAGGCTATCACAGGTAGACTGCTGGGGAAGTGTCATGCCAACATCGGAGGGGCTGTCATGGGCCTACACTGGAGAGGTGCGGTCACTTCTGGTCATTGCTGTCATCATACTAGTAGGCATTCCCAGACCTTAATTCTTGGTCATAATACTGGAATTTGAGGTCGAATTTGATATGAGACTGTACCATCCCAATTTGTGCAGCTAAATAGTTTTTGGCGACTGACACAGAGAGAGAGAATACTGGAATTTGTAGTGTGATTTTCTTTCTTCTGACACTTGCGTTCTCTTATATGTACAATGTTTACAATTTTTTTTCAACTTTGTTGTATCTATATGTAGGTGGATACAGCTCCAAGTACAGCACCATCAGCCAGAGCCAGAGTCTCCATGACTATGTTGTTACGGGAGGGAAGGATGGGCTGGTGTACATCCTGCCCCTCCCCCTGACCTGGGCACTGCCTGCTCCTGAACACCCTGCACACTGCATGCACACACACATGCCACTGGTCGGATCAGCTGTCAACTGTATCAGGTACTAGCGCAGTGTGGCTAGACCATTTACTAGTATTTTCATTTGCTACACTATGATCTTTATCAAGAAGAAAACTTCAAATCAATTACAAATGTAATTTGAAAACAGAAAGGAAGGAAATGTTACCTGCTTCTGGACCAAAAGTTTAGAGTTGAAACCCCAGCTGTTATCACCCACCTGAGTTACATGTTACTAGAAAGGTTTGCAGTCCTTAATAGGGTCAGCATTTTGGATACATTTCTATTTCTTCATTTTGTCAAATGTTTCCATGCTGTTTACCCAGTGTGTGGCAGGACAGAGTGATAGTAGCAGGAGCTGCAGGAGACCTGTGTGTGCTGACCTTCCAGAGAAACAGTGCAGGGGTAGTCAGTCCACACTTCTGCCCCAACCTCCACTACAGGCTGGATGGGGGACACTTTAAAAGTGTCAAGTCTGTGGTACAGACACAAGACAAGGTGAGATACATTTTGTTGAGTAGTGGTTATGATATCTTTAAAGAGTACAATGCTTAACTTTATTCCAACACAAGGGTACACAAAGCAAGGATCAAATTTTCAACAACCACTGCCGCGTTCATCAGGACAAGGAATGACCAATCACTTCCGAACGTTAACCTGTGATGACGGAGACAGTGGTTGTTGAAAATTTGATCCTTGTGTACACTTGAGATGGAATAAAGTTCAGCATCATACATTGTACTATTACTACCAACACAGATGAACTTCAATGATAACCTTAAAAGAGTATTTTGACCTCAGTGATCTCACTACCGCTGGATTGCACTTTTCTGCAGGCTTTGTCCTACTCGGATAGTAAGCTGCTGCTGTGGTGCCTGTTGAGGAGGCAGTGTCTGAGGGAGATGAGGAGGGATGAGTGGGTGGTGGGGTTGGTACCACACGGCAATGCTGCACTGCTTCTGTCTTCAGGTAAGTATCGCTATTGATGAGCTTGTATAACCAGATAACACACCAGCTTTGTGTTAGAGCTATGGTCTTCCCGCCATAGCTCTTATGCGCATGCACGGTGGTCCCTCTGGGGATCACTCTGGAGAGAGAGTCTTGATGTGAATACACTGTGAGAATGGACAGAGACTGTGTTGGGTTTTGTGTGTCTATTTCCTGGATAGAGGAAGGAGTTAACACTTTGCAGGCATACAGCTGCTGATTATGTTACATCAAATAGTTAAAGAGAGAGGTTACACTTTACAATCAGCTAATAAATTGGCTACTAGTGTAAACTTTAAGCATTGAACAAATAAGTTTAAGGAAAAAGGAATTTTCAAATTCTTCATCAATATTATTGAAACTTGCTGTGAAAGTTTCTCATTTGACAAATTCTTTTCTGGGATGTGTTTTTGATACACTTTGAATTTCATGTCCTTGCAGGTGTTGGCCCAGTTACTGAGATGAATCTTGATACCTGGTCTGAGGTGGATGTGTTGGAGAGAGAGGAACAGGTGACACCATGGAGCTGCATTGCTGCACATGGAGACCTCATAGCTGTGGGGACTAACTCAGGACAGGTGAGCAAGCTTATGGCCTGGGTACCATCCTGGTTAGTTTACATCTGCTCCCACAGTCTAGTTGATAGTGACTGTGGGAGCAAATGTAAACTAACCAGGATGTTACCCAGGCTACAAGCTTGTGGGCATTGTAGTCTATACTTGTGTTAGGTCAGGTCACAACTTGGAGCTGAATCTATGGACTGTGGTGCCCTGATCAGGACAGGTGGCCTCAACTCTATTGCAGCTCCCTCTATCAGATTTTGTAGATATTACAGCCATAAATTGGGAAGGTGCAATGTTTGGGGGATTAAGTACATAATATTATGTGTTAATGGATGTTGAGTCTATACTGTACCTTTTGGAAGAAGTATGATGATGTTACTTTATGTATCCATTCCTAACTGCAACAATACCACTTTTCTGTCTTTTTCATAAATTGTTTGATCACATGCAATCGACTTGTTTCTTGTCCCACAGGTAACTCTGTACCACACTGTGACCAAGTCCAGAACTGTACTGAGGGTTTCTGATGCACCAATCACTGCGCTGGACATCGGGGATGATGGGGAGGGGCCGGTGGTTGCCATAGTAACTAATTCATCACCCGCTGTCTGGGTCTACCATTGGTTCCCTCCGGATGATGATGAGGAGGAGGAAGATACATAAAGGGCCAAGGGCCAGTCTGGACTGAGAAGTTGTCATGAAAAATGTAGTCCAAGAAATGGAGATGGTATAGGACAAGTCAGCCATAGATTCTTTTACTAGAATCAAACACTTGCCTTTAAAATGGTGAAAGTGTATGTTGTTGCACAATATAATACAGAAATGAGGTAGGAGGATAAAGAAACACTGATAAGCAAGGAAAAAAAGCTTAAGAGGCGATAAGAAGTAAAATTCTTTACACACCACTACAGTACATATTTCTAACCTGTTAACATTTCGACAGCCAACTGCCTTCAAACACAAGGCAAGGAATGTGTGGTTGTGTAAGAAGAATTTCTACTCACCTATGACCTACTAGACTGATGACTTGCTGTTTATGGAGGACAATGAGACGCTAACCTTTGATTGAAGGTCGACTCATGCCTGAAGGGCTGTCACTCAGAAATGTTCATGAGTTACAGCATGTGTCTGAGAAAGTGCAACTTGCTGGCGGGCTTGGAAATGTGACAAGAGGTATCTTCTGTTTATACTGAAGGCACGGGGCATCGTACAACTCGTCGAAAAGTTTCAACAAAAGTTAAGCGTTGAAAACAAAGATGCAATAGAGACAATAGATACTTGATCTGTTCTGATCTAGGTCAAGTGGTAGTGGGAGTGGGACACATTGGCTTTGTCATTACATCTGTTATCAAGGGATCAATGTTTCTACCACATTACACACGGCCTCAGGCTGTGGGTGGGACAGTCTGCAGTTGCTAGACTGAGATGATCTGATTAGGTAGGCTGTACGTGGCAAACATATAAAGACGTTTGAAGATCACCATACAGACATTTCCACATTTATTTAGTCAGTTTCGTATTTCAATCTTATAGTACCTTTCTTGCTCTTTATAAACACAAACGTATCTCTCAGTCTTTGTCTTGACATTGAGCTACATATTTTGAAATGTATCTTGGAATAGAGAAAAGATCTAGACAAAGGTTTACAAATTAAAGGGCAAAACAACAGATATTATATATGATCAGATTTTTTAAACATCTGTAATCATTTGGCACAGCACAGCACAGCAATAGGAGCAACCTATAAACAAAACATGGCATAATGATTGCAAACCAACTCTCGACAAAAAAATAACAAAACTATAATGGCACATTTTTTAAACTTATGTAAAAAAAACTAAAAGCAAGTCTTTCTGCAAAAGTTCTGCTACCACTCTTTACTTAACAATAATAATAACATTATTGCACTTGGTATGTACATGGCCCCAAGATTGCCAAGGAATGAAGTTTGTATAAAACTTACAGAAAATGGAAATGTTCACAGTACAAAACCGGCAAAGGGAAGTATTAACTGCCAAAATATAGATATAACTTTGTATACCTAACAAAATATGCCAGGAAATGACACTCAGTTTCCCCTATATCAAAAGGACAGTGGTATTTTTCAATGAGCCCTGTTTGGTCAGTGTGGAAGAAATTAAGGGATGCCAACCTACATTTTTGGAAGTCCCAGCCAGTAATTATGTTCTTCTGGGGCATAGTAAACATAGTGTAGGCACAGCAACAACAATGGAGGTGCTACCAACTTAGTCTGGTTCAGGCACATTGTCTTATTAAGTTGCAGATGTAGAAACTTGTTTTTTGACTCTTAAACCATGTCCAAGCAGTACTTGTATGTACATAAAATTCTGCCAATTAACACTTTGTACAAAGGGCCTTTGTACGAAGGATGTGGAATCAATATCTCCTATCGTGCATCTGGTATAGGCCTGTCATACCCAAACATGGTGTAGTCTAGGCTATATTTTTTTACCAGTTTGCGAATGTAACTTTCAGCATCAGGCAAGACATCCAGGTGTTCCTTAAGAACCTCTCCTGTAGTCCTTTTGTTATAAATCTGTTCCTGTCTCCTAGGAAATGACACCTTCTTGTCCACGCCAAGTACCTTTAAGACGTGTTCGGTGTCTTCCTCCAAGTTTTCATACATGCCAATAAAATCATAGTTCACAGCACAAGGTTGGCACAGCTCTGTATAAGACTGCCAGTGCTCGTTTAAGTCGTACCCTTTGGCCTGAATCACGAAGCGAACAAACTCCTCGAAAGTCACGTCTGCTCCTAAGATGTTCCACACCCCGTTTCGGTACATCTTCTGTATCCTGGTCCCGTAACGTCTCCCGAAGTACTCCTCTGGATGCTCCACGAACTTGTCCCTGTACGCGGAGACCAGTCTCTCTAAGGGGTCTCGCACGAACATGAACTTGTAGTAATTCTGGAGTCTGTGCTGGATCCCCGCATGGTCGTAGTCCTTCAGGTAGGTCCAGTTTTTACGGTGGATTTCGTAGATGTCGATTTCTTCATCTGTAGAAGCAAGACTGCCCTCTAAGGCCTGAAACAATACATCATGGTGAAGTTACATGTATGATGCTTACAAATGTGCGGAAACATACACAGGCAGACAGACCAAAAACAGTTCCTCTATTTTTCATGGAGGTAATAACCAAGGAAAATGGTTGGGAAATACATGTACATACTACAACATTGAAATTTATAAACAGATACATCTTGGGTCTTGTCGTCTTCCAGATACATATCTCATAGATAATTGGTAAAGAATTGATCATGATGCTAAAAAAATAGATGATCTCACCTTTATAACTCTTTTCCAGTTGGTGCAGGCTACCTTTGGGACGTAGCAGTAGAGAAACTTGTACTTGTCGCTGACAATGATGTGATGGTAAACAGTATGGGTCACATCCAGCTCTGTCAGGTTATGCTGGCATTTACACCACTGGCACACACCCGCAACGTGACTGGTTCTGGAGCTGGGGTGGACCTGGGGACGAAAAAGTGAAAGATGAATTATGACATACACTAAAGCTCTCTTTCTCTCTCTCTGTCAGTCTCATATGACTGAGGCTACAGCAGGATAATTTGCTACTAGTATATAATAGGCTTTATAGAGATAATACAATGGCACCTTGATCAAAAGAGACTGAGAGTCTGTAAAGAAGTACCAGTGGGCTATAGGTAGTATAGTAACATGCTCGTTTATGTAGTATAACACACCAGTGTATCACACATGCAGCATAATACACACATACAGTTCTGTATGTAAGACTTAGTACAGGTTGTGTAAGGAACTGAATGGATTGAGCTCAGTACTGCACACATAACAGGGTGAACCTCTTCTCTTTTAGAAGTGTGATGGGACTTTTAATGTGATCAACGTGTGGCCTTTACACCAACGAGGGAGCACAACTGGCTAGGAACCACCATTACTTTACATTTTGTAGTAAAGAAGTCAGAAGGTGCCCTGTAGATACTGCAGCGTGTTGGAAACAGCCTGTTTTACATTAACCTACATGTGCCCAACCTTTAGAGGTAAAGTGGAAAGGGGAGGAGCACTAGACAGTCAAGAGATATACAAAATGCTTGGAAAGTATGATTAAGATTTAAACTGAAGCAAAGCATGTCCAGAAAATAGAAAATATCAAGTAGAATCATGTATCAGAAATTAAAAAATCAATACCCTAGTGCAACTGTTTAACTTTAACATTAGGAATTGGTGTAAATGCTCCTTATTTGGCCATATTTTGCTGGAAGGGTGAGGTGCTAATTGACTTAATGTCTTGTCTGGATGTCATTGAACTTGAAAAATTCCCTTCTGGGTATTCAGACAATTTGGAGGGAGGGAGGCGTCTAAGTGAGACAAACTGATCTTGAGATGTCAATGGACATGACAAATTCCTGCTGTTGTATTTGGACAAGTTGAAATTTTGCCAGACCTATGTGATTTGTCGGTTCTCAAACTGGAAAAGATCTGGAAGACCAAGATGTAAACAAAGTCTGAGGAGAAAGTCAGATCGATATCCATGCTTTCCTTTCCCCCAGGCCTCTGACAGTTATGACATTATGTTGTATTATTATTATTACTTTGTGTTTGGGGCTTGCCCTCCAGGAGCATTGAAAACCGCCCTCTAGGGCAATATGTTGTCCCCGGTAAAATAAACAATAAACAAACAAACCTCTATTCTATGTAAACCAAAACTCGTCTCGTAAAGCCTAGGAACCTGAGCAGTGAGGGCTGATAAAGTGTGATTTGTCAGGATACTAGTATACATTTGACCTCTTGCTAAATTTTTGCTTTAAGATATCCAGAAACCAAGGAGACAAATTGATGTGGCCCTACGTAGGGCAGGAGGAATTTTGCAACCCTTCAGGTCTACTGGAAGTCGCGCAGAGGGTCAGGGCTACAGACAGATGAGACAGGCCGAGTAGTGAAGTCAAACTGTGATGTGTACATACTTAGTACACTGGGTTCTTAGCTATGCAACCAATGGGACTTTATCTGCCGACATTTCAGTAACCTTTCAGCTACCTTCCTCAGAACATAATAAACTCTTAGCTACTCATGATTAGTTGTATGAACTCTAAGTTAGGGCTCAATTAACTCTAAGTTAGGGCTCAATTACACCCTCCTTGATTTCTCTTAAAAAGTTCTTGTTTAAGGAATGAGATTCAATCACACTTATGCTGAAAGGTTACCAAAAATGTCGGCAGAAAAAATCCCTTCGGTTGACTGTAGTTGAGAACCCAGTACATCTACTTAGTATACTAGTATTTAATCATATACCACTAGTAGGTAACAAGATGAACAAAGCTATTTACAGATGTATACAGTTTGTGCACAAGTTATTTCAGAAGAATATAATTACAGTAGACATGTAGGGGGTTTTATTTGTCATCAGTCAATACCATACAAGTATGACAAAAATACTAGTACTACAAGAAGGATGTTGAACAAAAACTAGATCACACCCTCAATCTAGTGACAGTGACAAAAATCTTTTCACACTTATCTGTAACATCTTTTGTAGATTTTCAGTACCTGGTAATTGAATCCCTCATTGTGGGTCTTTTGTGGCAGACACCTCTTGTAATTTACACCCTGATATTAAGTACTTTATCAACACAACTAAATACCTGACAGGTATGACACACATTTTAACCCAATCTGGGGAGACATGATTTTTGCCCAAAAGGCCACGATGTGACCTGTATATTCTCTGGATTTTGGACAAGGTTGAGAACAATGTATTCTCCTACTTACCAGACAGAAATGTCACAACCTCTGCCAAACCTGAGACATCTCATTGTTACCAGATCTTTTGATATTCAAACTCAGACATTTTGAGTCTGAAAGCTAATTACGTGAGAAGAAATAAGATATTATAGCCTTTTGCTGCTTTAGCATTCAGTGAATCACTGCAATGATTACCACGTTTTAAGCTCCTTGGTATAGCAAGTAGAAAATTATTTTGGAATTAGCGAAAGCAGCAATATCAAAGTGTCATTTGTGAAGCCTTCTGTAGAAATGGCCAGACATTTGGTATTACGCTATTATCAAGGACGTCCCGGCAATAGGAACAGGTGCAAAACAGGGGCATATTTTATAAGAGAAAAAAAAAAGCTTTCAAGAATTTTCTGTGAATGTGTGCAGTCTACCAAAGTATGTGGTACATGTATGTTTACAAAGAGATTGCATGAGTAACTGCTACTGTATGCTTCAATGAAGCCTGCAAATAGGATAGGATGATGGTGTGACACAGATTTAACAGTAAGCAAGGACACGCGTCCCTTGCCCCCAGGTTATCCCCTAATTCATTGGACACTACCTCTTCACAGAAGACTGACGAATGTGATATCTAGACTAGAGTTAGTTAGAGTAAACATCTATTGAACCATAACTTCATTATGTCTTGCAACTGGGTTTTGATTAGTCCAAACTTGATTCAAGAGCAATTTGTATTGAATAATTGATAATATACTTTTAATAGTAAATAATGCATAACTGCAAGTAGGTCATCCAACTGTTATCATCCTTCAAGTAAAAGGCTTTCATGTCAAGGCTCCCCATACCTTAACGTAGACCAGGTGTGGTGAGATAAATACTGTCTGTAGACATCTGACAAAGGTTTTCTCGCCTTTCACATGGCAGCAAGGTATGCAAAACACACAGGGGGTATTCAGTGCTTTTTATGATGTTTGGCACAAAGAAAGCATTCTAATGGGTCGGAGGTTTAGTGGTTGATATACTGGTAGTTGTCAGGTAGTTACCAGGTATGAACAGGCAGTGGGTGTGAACAAAGGTGTTACTGTAACCTGAGCCCAGGTATTGGGAACAAATCATGCAAATTATTTGCCAACATACATGTACCGTTACGTCTCTTTGAAATGGCAACTGACTCTCGGGATCTACAAAGCGTATAGACCAAGAGAACGTACAAATAAAAAAGGGGGAGACAGAGACAGAGAAATTGCAGTGTAAAACTCAAAACTGACATTTTACGTAACGTTTCAGCTGAGCTGTCAACGTCATTCCACAACAAAAACAACCCGACTCGTGTTACACTTATGCTAACTCAATTTCCTCTTTCATACCTGTAACAGTGCTGACTTCTTGTCCCCGACTTTCGCCGCTATCCTTGTGTCTGTGGTGCCGTTATCTCTTCCAAGGAACCTCCCCAGTAAAATGTCGTCTGTCGGCGGCCGGCCCGGCCCGACCCCCGATAACACCCGCGTGCCGAGCGACTTCCTGCCGAGCGCGCCGCCCGTCGACGTCCCCGATAGGAACATATTCCTCCAAAACAACAGCGTCCCCAGACATGACAGCACCATGAGAGTCAGAAACAACCACAACGCTCTCTTTAGCATGCTGGACATGCTGAAAACTGCTGAAAATCTCAGCTCAGAGACACACGACTACATCCCGACTCTTCTTCGATCTTCTGAACCGTTCGGCCTCCGGTAACCTTTGACCCGCAATGACCCAAGGTCAAGCTGTACGTGAGCTGCCTGATGAAACAACGACTGTCAAAAGATTCTAGTCGAAGTGTGTCAGCCGTGAAACTTTCCAAACAACGTGCTCGCGATTTTTCTGTCGACAGAGCACGCAATCCATTTTTAAACAGCAAATCGACGCAAATTTTACGGCCTATGCGTTTCTTAGAAAAACACCTAGAGGTATGAAATCATTGCACGGTATTTGCACCCCTGTAAGAAACGTTTTGTAGGAGTCCTGATCAGTCCCAGACGACAGCTGGGCGAGGGCCGGTCTTTCTTGTTGTTGTTTGACATCATCTGCCGAATTTTCAACCTTTGACGCCCTGTCGAACATGTTACATGTCACCCCAAGGGTTCACGACTCGCTTCCTACGATTGTTTGCAGGGCCAACAGAGTACGTGCGCAATTCCGCACACTTGGCTAAGTAACGTCTTGACTCCAAAACTCTTTTGGGGGGCAGGAACGACCTGTCACTGGCAGCTATCCAACCTACTTCAGATGGGGTCCTGCTTGTTTTTGCACGCGTTAGAATCGTTTTGGGCTTTTAGACAAGTACGCAATTGACATTATTTCACATTATACAAAAATTTATTTACACACACACAAGTCATTGACAAGACTAATGACTCCCCGGGATGACGATCCAGTAATAACAATTTAAAATACATGTACAATGTATATTAAAATTACCATCAGGTTGCGGAGGTTGGGTAACCCTCCAGCTACTGTACGTATTAAAGTTAACGTTACCCGTCTGCGTATGTAACGTTATGTATGTTAACGTTATTTTAGACTCTACAGCATCTGCTTGGTTTCCTTTCCCCAGAAATAGTCTATGGCTCCTTTGCATATCAAACCGAACCAGTAGTAGTTCATGATGTTAAACAAAAGTGAACCGAAGATGTAACATAAGGAAACGTGAAGCGGCAGCCGACTGAAGGTGTCTTGAAAAATCATGATCTTGGCCAAGTTGACGGTCGCGATGCCGGTGACAAGTATGCGGGAGATGAAACACGTCACTATCAAGGTGACTCCGTTCCATGTGTAATACTGTGAACCTTTGTACCCCAACTCTTCTAGGATGACCCTTGTATGGGGAAAAAAGGATTAGAATCACATGAGAACAGTGTCTGGTAAAAAAAATTGCGTCGAAGTTTGAATAATAGTTAGTATTGTATTGCTAGTCTACGCATTACATCATAATCCATTTTTATACATCAAAAACAAACGGAGAGAAAAAAGAAAATCAAACTCCCAGAGATGAGATGGCCCTGTCAAAAATGTTCTAATGGTTATACCAACTACACCTATTACGTTACGGTATCACATTTATAATTTTGAATCATGAGTACTATTTCTGAAAAAAACAAACTAATTCTAAACTACAAGTACTTAGGTTAAAAGTACTACAGTTTAAAAGTAAAAGTGCTACACTATTACATAGTTACTAAACTGTTCATACCTGAAAAACGCACTGGGGTTACTGAGCTGCATCATGTAGCAGACGTTGGCGTAGTAGGGCATGGCGGGATAGCTCTGGGAGATGACATGAAAAGATGAGTTGACAAAAACTCGTTAAAAACTGAGAAGGCGAAGATCGAGATCCACTAGAAAAACCGCAAAACTCGCAGGAAAAGCTGAGCAGTGGACCCTACGTCTATTTGGAGATTAGATTGTGATGGATGAATGTCAGAAAAAAACAAACTCGGCTGCCAAAAAACGACACGGTCTTCCATACCAAGATCTGATTGGAAACTACACTTACCGCTGCGATGTAGGACGAGTATAGTGACATCACGTGGTGTGAGACGAACTCTATATTGCTGACGTGCGGGTACATCGCTGTTTGAATCAAGTCTGTCGGAAAAAGGGCAACAGGATTATTCAAGATGCTAGCATTAAAGATATAGCAATGAGACCTTCCCATAGGCATCTACCAGATTGACTATGGTCCAAGTTGAATTTGGACATTGGTTTTTTCATATTTTGAGGTTTGAAAATATTCATTTTTTTAATGAATGTACAGGTATGTTGACTTGCGTCATAAGATATGTTTACGCTAAAAAGTCTTACCTGAGATTAAGTAGCCAAAATAAACCGCAGACTCGAACCTCACGAGTGGTGCATCGAGCCTAGATAAATGAGGGGGATGAATTCCACGTGATTTACGTAATTCGTATCATATAATTTATATAAAATTGATATTGACAATAAGCTAACAGGACAAAAATCTACTTGCTCGTATTTTGTATTGCCATGACACAAAGCTATCCTGCGCCATCTATGATACGTTTATTAGAGATCTTATTAGGCTCCAGGCCGTGGGAGAATGGGGCTCCCGTGAGAGCATATGATGTTGCCTTACCATACGCCCCCTGGCGGAATCTCGGTGCAAGTGTAGGCGTACCAGGCAAGCGCTGCGACGAACGTTCCATGAACTACAGTCTTGAAACTGCAGAATACGAAGACACAGGATGAGGCAAAAAAGACACAAAACACTAACGTTACGTGTACATCTCCATCATGGTTATCTGTGCGTCTGTTAGAAGTCCAAAGAAACCACCTGTTACGAAAATTTTATCGTCCTTGCCGGTTAGTCCGTTATCTTTGGGGAGGGGGGCAGGGGTAACGTACTGGTTGTCCACTAGCCGTTGCCTGTCCTCGGGGAGACTTCTGTAGATCGAGGACAGCCAGGTGAAGAGAACGGGACTGAAGGTGAAGATAGACATCCAGCTGATACACGAAGACACTGCGGTGAAGACAAGAAACGTCTCAAAACCCATGTTGTCTGAGGAGTGTCCTCACCGGCCAGGGGTCAGCAGAGGGTAGTATCCGGTTTCTAGGAGGCGGTAAATCCTTCATAGCAGGCCGCAAGGCGGGCTTTTCGATTGCATGTTTACCTTCGCCAAGATCTGATGGTTATGTCTTCGGTTCCGTTTGTACACGTGGGTGGCTGTGTTTGTATGTGTAATGGTCTGTAATCTCCACGCCGATTCGGTGGCATGGGGATTCATGTTAGGCGCCTAACTGTTATATCCAACGTTCTTGTGTGGGTAGGCGTCGGCAAAACGAAGGTCAAGTTCGATTCTGGTCCTCCTGGCGGCTTTCTATTGTAAAGCAGAACTTTCCGTTTTGATATATTATGTTCTGAACATGCCGTGGTCATGATTATATGAGTAGACACACTCTTTGGCTCGGCGAAGCCCGACCCTTAGCGACTTATCTGTGAATAATTTATTTCCCTATAACTTCCTTGGCAAATCCCACCACTGCCACCAGTGTAGTGAGAAGCGCGATAAGGACAAACTCCCATGTACCCACCACAAGAGACCTTTTTATGTATTAATGATATACTAGCATAGAAAGACACACCTTTCATCACAATGGTTCAGTCCTAGATTTAAATATTAATGATCAGAGAGCTGGAACTTCCACTACACTACAACAGGTCACACAACTCTTCGTTCCTCTGACATGTCTTAGTGGTAAGGACAAGATGGTTTTTGAGACGTTCCATGTCGCCGTCGCAGCGTCTTCGTGCGCCATTTGGCTGGCCGTCTTCAGGCTCAGTCACAAGCTTTTCCCTTGGCTGTCTCCGTCCTACAGGGGTATTTCCAAGAACAGGCGACATGTAGTGGATGACAGGTAAGTTACCTTTGCCCCTCCCCCTTCACTATATATACATGTATTAAAACACTCCAGACGCTGTGAAACAGGTCACCAATATCATTCATTAACTATGAGGCCCATTATCGAACTTGAACTTTACCCTACCCATCCACTAAATATCATGTACAACCATGCGCAGCTTCTCGAATTATGTTGTGCACATACATACAAACATGCATAGCTCACAGCCCCATGCAGTACCATAGGAAAACGCCAGGTGAACCATTTTCGAACTTGGCCTCCGTTTTGACAACCGCTACTTAATTACCAAATATCAGCTGATATCATTATGACCCATCAACAGCTTCGCGTGTTACATACGGACCACAATTAAACAAGGCAAGTTAATGGATCAGAAAAATAAGCCTTGTTATATCGGTCACATGCCCTATTTGTAGACACATTGCAATCATTTCGATTCCATCTCTTTTAGATGTTTCCAGTGCCTTGCCAAGGCAGTCTGTTTATGATGTTTGCTATATTTTTGTGTACAGTTTCAAGGCGGTGGTGTATGGCTGTTTCGCCGGTCCTATCGCCTGGTATGCCTACATCTGTGTCGAGATTCCACCAGAGGCCGTCTGGTAAGACTAGCAGCGTTTGCAAAGCACTCAGAGTAACAAAATGTTTCATTGATATGTGTGCCTATACGCCCTGCGTTGAATTTTGCAGTTGAAAGCTTGATTTTTCTAAACTCCGTCGTCTTTAAACACGCGGCCCTTTTGACATATGACGGTGTCAAATATGTTAGTGGATTTTACCTACTAAAAGTATTGGGCTTCAAAGAGTCTTGGGCTCGAAAAAGTGTTTCCTGCGGCCAAAATTTCCGTTTCACCAACTCCGGCTGATACATTTGAATAGAATATGGTTTCGCTCTTGGAATGATTTTTGAGGATCCATTAAATAGGCTTATGACAGTTACCGCTTCTTTCTTTACTCGCGTCCGTCTAGGCTCGATGTGCCACTTGTGAGGTTTCTCTCTGCACTCTATATGGGCAGCATACTCGCACGTAAGTTTATCTTATGTTTTTGATTGACTTAAACTGACTAGGATAACCAACTTTACACAAACTGGTCAAGTCTGAGTTCAAAAGTCTTATCGATAAGTGTGTTGGGTTCTGTTAGGTCAAAAGTCAAACGCTCCAGGGCAAATATTTTAATTTAATTGTTTATCGATATTTTTTCTTCCCGATCGCGAACAGAACTGATAGTGACGATAGGCTACCCGTACGCCAGCACAACAGACTTCATCCTGTACAAGATGCACCATGCGGTTTCGCTCTATTCTACATACATCGGGGCGGTGAGTCTCTACAATGACCAAATCTCTGCTACGACGATAGTATTGATATTGCTTTTTTTCGCTGATTTATTTGCCGTTTTCTAATGGCCTTGTGTAGGGCAAAAGTATCCTCTCAAGGATATAAACGATCAGGGTATTTCCGTCTTACAGAGCTATCCCGCCATGCCCTACTACGCCAACGTCTGCTACATGATGCAGCTCAGTAACCCCAGCGTGTACTTGCGGTACGTATATGATATGATTCCATGATGTATATGTTATAATAACTAACACTTCTTTTGTTCTCTTTTTCTCTAATCTTTCTTCTCTTTTTTATTCCCTTATTTTTTTTTACCAGGAACGAAAGTACAGAAACAGATTTTACTGTGATTCGTGGACTGGCAGTACAAGATCAATCTTGATTTTTGTTGGTCATTCTGATGAAAAGAAAAAAACAACCTCTAAATGCTGCTATTCTCTCGTGTCATACCAGGGTCATTCTAAAGGAGCTCGGACACAAGGACTCCAAGTACTACATGTGGAACGGTGTCGTCATGTGGGTGACCTTCGCCCTGTGTCGTATCCTTGTCACAACCATCGCGACCTTCAACCTAGTCAAGGTCATGATGTTCCAAGACGCCTTCCGACGGCTGCCCTTGCATGTTTCCTTGTGTTACATCTTGGGTTCACTTGTATTTAACGCCCTTAACTACTACTGGTTTGGTTTGATGTGCAAACAAGTTATAGGCTACATATGGAGAAAAGAAATCAAGCAAAAGTTGTATAGCCGAAACTGAAGTTGTGATAAATAAATGATGAATAAAATACTTTATCATAAGTCTTAATCAGTAGCTAGGTCTCTTTACACATACAAAACAGCATATGTAAGATAAAATCTGACTATGTTTACAAACACACTTCAGACATGTATCGTATATTATAAAATGATGATATTTTGACATGTAAAATGGACAAGACATATTTAAAACCGATTTGTTTCCATTATGTAGTATTGGGTGGTTAGCATGATTTCACAGTTGACATGGGGAGAACAGATCGGAGTTCCACGGAATTTTGATATCACATGAATTGCTGTGTGTATTATCAGGACTGCCTTCACAAAAACGTGGTACCAGTGCAACGTAGTCATTCTACAAAAGTCCGCAGGATTATAATGACAAACCGTCTTAAATGACCATCGATATTCAGTCTACCTTGTTTTGCTATACATCTGTCCCCCTGTGTTTAGTAACAACACACTGGAGGGCCACGTTGCAATGTAAACACAGTAACATAATGGCGTTGACCGGACAGCACGTCACGGTACCTGGTGATCAAATACCCGCCAACCGTGTACGGTTTCATACCAGGAACCGTCACCACAGGTAACGACACGGCAGGACACCCCGAGACACTATGTGAGCATCGTCAACGTTTCCAGACGTCAGGTAAGGCCCCTGTTACGTTCGTCATTAAACAGGATTACGACAGCAGTTTAGGGACAGTGGTGAGTGTGTCTTGTGACCCAAATGTTTCTGTAGATCCTTGTTGACGGTAGGTTCTTTCAAAGCCTCACTCGAAACTCGCATGACATGACAAAAACGTACGACGTATGTAGTGGACTGGGACTGTGTCATTTTGCTGCAGATCTCTTCCTTGGAAAGGTAGGATTTGACAACGATTACGTGTGCTTCTAGGGACCACCTTTCATTTCTTCGATCTTCCCTGTCTAGTTTTGCTAAACCTTGTTGGTTTGCTTACCACAAATGTGACTCATTCAACAGACAGCATTTGTCTTTCAATTTCAAACGTACTGCAGATACTATGACATTTTCTCTGTCGAGACTTGTTATACTCGATAAGAGTTATTAAACTTTGCGGCAGCCTAACTTTATTGAAATTCCGATAATCAAATGGCTAACGGCGGCTGCCATTCTATAGTCCAGTCACCAGCACGTAACTCATGTTGCTTTGGCATGGTTGACATACTCCTCAGGTTTCGTAATGAATTCTCTCCTGCAGTCATTTGAGTAAGACCCACAGTCACCTACGTGGTTCCAAAATATAGGTCAGACGATTTTCAGAGCGGTTATGACAGAAACTTCCGTCGACGTACAGCGGGTACAGGGATCTACTACCTCTGTCCAAGGGCTTTTTAAATCTGTCACGTGTTGTCGTACTTTCAAGACGTATGTGACAAGTTACCTAGTCGAAATCTCTACATAATTTCTTGCAATGTGAAGAAATTCGAAGTCCGGCGGTTTTCTGATCGTGCCTTGAGGAAATCCTTGAGAAAGTCCTCGCGTTAAGCAAATATGTGACTCATGTACATATAACCTTATGTCTATACAACAAACAGACCTATTGTGCAAAAAGGGTCAGAGCTTTCATTTTTACTGAGCAAACAAAACACATAGTACCACTGTGTGATGGTTACCTCGATAACACGACATGTATCTACCACTAGGTCCTTTCAGAGCCTTATAGAGGATCATCAGCGTAACACGTCTTTGTTTTTTAACAACAGTAACGGGGATTATGCCATTTGTCCTTAAACTCTGTTCTCCTAAATATACCAGTAGTATTGAGGCACTTGTTGACACGAATTGAACAAACAGTACCAGAAAAACATTGTCACAGTTTACGTGTGAATTCAAGCGTACTAAGACGTCATGAGTGGGTGGATCTGAAAATATTTTAAGCACAAGACACACGTAGACATTTATGTAGCGAAAATGTGATATTTCGTCACTACTACGTAATTTTTGGCTCTCTTTTTGGGCCAACTAGGGCGTATCTCTGGTTGACGTGATTATCGTAACCCTCCATGACGAGGCACTATCCCACACCACTCTCCAGTGCCCGGTTTGCTGCCTGCCTGTAGAAAGTCACACCGTGTAGCGCCATGGGGTCCGGTTCGTCCTCCCGGGCAGCGAAACAGACAAACGTACAACCAGCTCCCAGCTCCCACCAACCTGTCTACTCACCTGTACCTCAATATGCTCAGGTAAGGCTTTTACACATGTACAGGCAAAAGAGTAATATTCATTACAAAAGGTTTCTTTGTTATTTGAAAAAATGTACATGCTTTATAAGACGTATTTGTTTCGAAGCATGATAGCTGTTTCGGTACTGAGTTTCGGCAAGTGAGTTTTCTTTCATGTACTTGTATTATTGTTCCGCTGGCTAAAGGTGTCATTCATTTCATAGAAACTGAAGGATTTTCTTTCAACCTCATTAGCCCGTCCCTCAGCAGCAGATGTACTACCTGCAGCAGTGGCCACCGCCCGGAACCCCGCCGCACGGGGGGCAGCAGTGGCCGCCGCCTGGAACACCGCCACATGGAGGGCAGGCGACGCCCCCTCCTCCCATACAGGTAACGTTATGCGCTTCTATAAATGGGACGACTAAAGACAGTCGTTTTCATATATTTGCCAGTATCTACAGCATATGTATAAAAGCGGCTTTCTTGGTTTCCACGGCTAGGGCTTCAAGAATGACGTATCTACTATAATCTAGACCCAAATCAAAGCGTGGATAGTATGTCAGAGAATTCCCTTTCGTTCAGATACTTATGTAACGGTCGAGTATATATTTGTCGACTGACTGGGGAACCTGTTTAGTACAACAAAGAAAGTTTAACTAGCCTTGTTAGTAGAACATGACTCCGTGATCAAGGCGCACAGTGGACGTCGAAAATTTGAAAGTACGTGTTGGCTACCTTTCAAAACAGTCACTGATTGATCGATGAATATTCTACTAACTGTTGATCTACAAGTGACTGATGAACCTCTTCGACGTTAAGCAGTGTTGTCTTCTATCATTGCTACAGTGGACAGACGGTGACCGGTGTCCCCGTGTCCTGGACGGGCCAGACTACCTGCCCAGCGTCCCTGATGACGTAGCCGACAGCTGGAAGCTCACCTGCAGGATGTGCAGTCTCCACATGAACGACGAGGTACCGGGCCTCTTCTGTTTTTTGGCGAAGCCTCAGGGGCGGAGCCAATAAAGGAGTACAGTGATCGAGTTGACGATATTCTAATATTGGTCTTCCATTACACATTATGGTATGGTGTTAACACAGAGCAAGAAAGAACTGTGTACTTGTAACACAGAAAGGTTCTTGACTTTATAGAATACCATAGCTACTTATGCCATTTTTATGTATTACTTTCGAAGATAACCCAGCGGAAGCAGACCACGCCGGAGGGAATGCTCACGTACACTGTACAACGTCATGGTCACGTGCCCATGCACGTCATCCACACGCCCAAACCCTACTCAGACAAGACAGCCTTCACAGAACTGGACAACCACGCCATCAAGGTAGAACAGAACAGAACAGAATAGAATAGAAGTAATAAAACATAATAGTACATGGTAATTTAGGATATAAATAAGAAAACAGAATAACACAAATAGCACGGCATAGTAAGAATAGACTTGTTTAACATTACATAGTCGGCGCAATGCCAATTTACCGATAAAGCCGTACTGTACATATGGACATGATACATGTGTTATTGTTTACCAAATACATCCAGGCTCCCACCCATCTGAACAACGACTTTAACCGATTGGTGCCCTACCTGGTGCAGCCAGCGCGCACCGAGCTGCAGAAGGTGCGGGTCCTGTTCCGCTGGGTCTCCGCACAGAACGTCAGCAACATGCCCCTCCCCGACCAGCCGGCGGAGAACACTCCCGACTGGTACCTCAAGCAGATCCAGCGGAAAAAGACCTACTTGTACCCTGTTCTCTTCCTAAACCTGTGCAGGTAACCGCTAGTATGAACTTTTCACCACTCTGCTTCCTTTTAAAGATTCAATAAATAGTTCACAGGACGCCGTCAGCAGCAAGCAAATCTACGAGTCTTCTCAGTAGGAATGTTCTAACAAGAGGTATTGCTTTTCACCCTATTCCAGACATGCAGGCCTGATGTGCAGCTACGTTCGTGGTTACGCCAAGAGCGCCCGACTCTTCCCCGGGACGAAGTACGTTGGAACAGACCCGATGGGTACGTGGACCGTGGTGCGCATAGACGGGTGCTGGGGCTTCGTGGACTCTCACTGGGGGTCCTTCTCAGTCATCGACGACGACGACGATAAAGAGTTAGAAGACCTGCAGTCCCAGATCGCCATTGACGAGTTCTACTTCCTTCCCAACCCTCTGCACTACCTGAGCTCACACTGCCCTGCCGACCCGAGCTGGCAGCTCATCGACAACCCCATCCCGCTCAGCGACTTCGAGGCCCACGTGAAATGCAACCAGCGCTTCTTCGCCCACCAGCTGAGGCTGCTAAGTCACCACAACGGCCTCGTGGAGACAACAGACGGCACAGTGGACATCTACATCGGGTATCGACCAGAAGACGAGAATGGGATCCAGTTCTACTACAACCTGAAGACCAGAGAAGAGAGGTCGAGGTGGAGAGGGATCAAACTGGACAGGTTCGTCACGCAGCAGAGAAAGAAGGGCGCAGCCGTCTTCACTATCACCCCTCCTGAGAAAGGCAAGTTCCTGTTTGAGCTCTTCTTTGGATTGAAGGGACAAACTTACTTTCACTACGCCTGCGAGTACATGATCCTGTGCTCCCAGGCGTTGCCTTCGGAAGAAAACGACCCCGTACCTGCTTGGAAGGGCATCTGGGGACCGGGTAAGATGGTAGTGGAGAAAGGAATGGTAGCCGTGTCCCACAAGTCTCCATACGTGGAGTGCCCGAATGGAAAAGCAGAGGTAGTCTTCTCCTCGCCCGGAAAGCACAACTTTCTCGCGAAGCTGTACGAGACGTCGATGGACGAGACACACCTGAAGCGGTACGTGGCGCACGAGATTATCGACGACGAAGTCAAGTTTTACGTCAACTTACCGAAAGCGGGAAAGCACGGTCTTGGCATCTTCACGCAAGACGGTAACGACGAGAATGCGTACTCCCTGCTGTGTAACTACATAACACAGTGCCAGGCGGACGAATCTTCCATCAACGAGCAGCCTTTCCCAGCAGTGCCAAGAGGTCGCTTCGGTCCGGTCCTTCCCGACTTCGAAGAGCTCGGTCTTTCCGCAACCGGCAGCGCGTTCGTGGAGTGTGAAACTGGAGAACTTCAGCTAAGTCTTAAAGGAAGTCACGCGCTGACGTACAGCCACGAGTTGTTCTGGGAGACGCTTAACGAGAAGGTGAACATGAGCGAGTACGTTCAGAGGCAAGTCGTGGATGGGAGCGTGGAATTCCTCCTTCGTCTCCCCCGCATTGGAATGTATCGCCTCGCCGTGTATGCAAATGAAGCAGGGCGTAAGGGCGCACCAAGAAACGTCTACAACTACTGTATTAATTGTACGGGGACGCAGCTAGACGTGAAGCCGTTTCCAGGAGCCAGCGCCACTTTTGCGGAACCAACGCTGAGCCACGAGGACGCAGAGGAACGCTTCATCCAGTCAGAGCACGGCGACATCAAAATAGTCTTCGGCAAAGGAACCCCAAAAGGCATCGAGCACAAACTCGTCTGTCTTCTGGACGGCGAGGAAGTAGACGTGTCTCCCTACGCCTTCATCCAAGACAATCCAGACAACGAAGAGGAAACCGTCGTGCACCTGCGACTCAAAGAAGCTGGGAAGTACAAGTTGTCGCTGTCCACTAAAGACCCAGACCAGGAAGGACGCACCGTGCTTTCCAGTTACGTGATTCAGACCATGAAGGGCATGGAAGAAGACTGTACGGAGTTTCCGGAAAAGCTGCTCGGCTGGTGTAGCGACTACCAGATGCACGAGCCGCTGTCCCGCTTCCTCAGGGCAAAGGAGACCTTCACGTTCAGGGGCTGCTTCCCTCGGGCGGCAGAAGTCGCGGTGATGCTGCCGACGTCGGAGTGGATCCAGCTGAAGAAAGGGGAGGGCGACGACTGGGAGGAAGTGGTGACGATGCCGGGGAACAAGTACGCTGGGCAGTTGGTCACCGTCAACGTGCTCCCCGACACAGAAGACGGAGACTACACTGAGGTCTTGGGCTATGTCGTGGAGAAAGGTGAATTTTGTCATTGGAACTAAACGATTCTTTAAAATGCTGTCTTTTGCTGCTTTCAAAGTAGGGGTGGAATGGGGGGGGGGGGCTGTATCATGTGTCTGATGTTGGTCTATTTCATGATCATCCGTCTGTGTTTATTTCATTTTAGTGGCGATAAAATAACTTTCAAATCTTGAGTGCGGCAGCATATCTCCTTATCATCTTTTAAAACTGATCGTCTTTGTCTAAAAAAAAAACAGGTGAAGACACGGGGCACGAGGAGGATGACCAGGCCCCGCGTCTTGAAGCGGACGACACGGAGGAGGACCTGTTCGAGGGGCAGGTGGAGGAGTACCAGATGGTCCTGAGGCAGCACCGCCGGACCATCGCGGACCAGATGAACCCGGAGAAGGTCATCCCCAGGTTCGAGGAGAACCATTTCATCGACGAGGAGGAGGCCCTGGAGCTGACCGAGCAGCTGCCCACCAACCCGAACGAAGTCAACAAGCAGCTGCTCAACGTAGGTGGAATCTAGAAAATGTATTTTTCCTACATTGTTTAGTTTATTTGTTCTTATTCAGACATTCATTGCTGCTGTTAACACAGCCAAGCAGGACAGGTCATATAGCGAGGCTACAAGACAACAGGTGGACGCTAAGAGTTGCTGAGTGAACACCCCGGGAATGGAGGAGAGGACGGCCCTGTACGAGGTGGAGGGACAGTCTAGTGCAACATCTGGGCCCTGCATGGCACAGAAGTGCCAGACTAATACGAAAGTAGAGCCAGTCAAAGGAGGGGTTACTCCGCAGGAGTGACAACACCCTGGATTGAATGAATGTATTCAAACAAGCTGACCGTGATCACAAGGTCTTAATCCTTTCTTTGTTGTTCTGTAGGTGGTGCAGAGAGAGGGCGAAGATGCTTTCGTCACCCTTCGCGACGTCATGAAAGAAACGGGACAGGACAAAGTCATGGAAGTCATCCAGGATGTGGTGATCGTGGTACCCGAAAATAAATGTGAGCATCATGCCAGTTACTAGTACAATACATGCCGTCCATGCGTTTTAGTGCTTAGGATTTAGTTGGCTCTCTCAATGCCTGGGTTTGATTCCCGAAGTGGGAAAATACACTATACAATATTCTCATAGTTTCTTCTGACTGGCTATTTCTTTATGTACACGTACTCAAATGTGCATGTTGTTTTTACACGTTTTGTTGCATTGTCTTTATTATGGTTTGTCTTTCAGTTGACAAGCTGCGGAAGAAACTTGCGGAGGCGATACTCGCCAAGAACAAGGGAAGACTGGAGCAGATCATGGCGGAGTGCCGCGAACAGGGGATGGAGGAGGACGACGACGTCTATAAAGAGGCACAGAGAACCCTGGAGTTAATTGAAGCCCGACAAGGTAAGATTTGACTCGGCTTACAAATAGGGGTGTCATGTTAGAGCCAGCAACCACTGTCCATGGACTTTTCTGTGGACAGAAGGAAATATTAACACAGGATTTTGTCTGGTGTCTAATTGTAGATAAGCAACAGTAAAACGCTTTTGACTAATTTGTATGTCATAGATTATAACTATCTATAGGTAATGGTGTGAATATGTATTATTGATTGAAAGTCTTTAAATTCTAGGTCTCAAAAAGGCAATCAAAACAAGGCAAAGAGACCAGCTTCAAGCTGCTATCAAAGCCGCCAAACCGTTCAAAAACGAACTCCGGAAGCAGCTGGTCGAAGCAGAGGACATCCTGGACAAAATCAAACGTCTGGAGAAGTTACGTCACGCCATCATGGCCATGAACCAAGCGACCATCGCGGAGATCAAGACGTACAACAACCCTCCTCCCGCCGTCTACAAGGTCATGATGGCCACGTTCCTGCTGCTGGGCAACACCATGGCACAGGTCAACGTAAGTAACCTGTAGCCTCCTTCGCAGACTTGTGGGGGGGGGGGCTTATTTTTTTCGGGGAGCGACGCGAGTTATGCCGCAGAAGGACTGTTTTGTCGCCGAGAGAGGTAATAAAGCGGTGAAAACCTACTCCAAGCGGCAAAACTACTTCGGCGACAAAATCGTCCCTCTGCGGTATAACTCGCGTCGCTCCCTGAAAAAATTAAAACCGCCGCCCCACTAGTCTGTGAAGGAGGCTGGTAAACTGCCAATTTGCCTATTTCTCTATACGTTCATTTTTGAATTGTTCAAATTCCTTGTCTTTCTCATTCGTAATTTCACAAACGTTGCTTGCTTTTTGTATTACTTATAATGTAGACTGTCAGAAGAAGGAACTGTGGATCTAAAAACTGTTTTTTTCTACGTTCCACCAGGACTGGGTGTCCCTCCTCGCTCTCATCGGTAAGACGGGAAAGCAGAGCCTGAAGCGGCGGGTGAAGAACTGCGAGCCGGCTAACATCTCACCGGAGACCGCTACGGAGGCAAAGCTCTGTCTGGGAGACCTCAGTCTGGACGGGGTCCGGGACCAAAGTTCGGGAGCGGCCACCTTCTATGTCTGGGTAAGCATAAACTCTACATCATTTGAGAGCGTGCACGCACTAGAAACGGCCCTGTCCTTGGTGCTGGACGTGGTTCACATAAAAAACGTGTACAGTGTGCTTTCCCGACACTTAGGAGTGTGTGCACACTACATGTTTTGTATGTGAACATCGTTCAGCACCAAGGACAGGGCCGTTCCTAGTACGCACACGGCCCTTGTCTAACCTCTCTACAAATTCGAACTCCTTTCCTGTATGTCCTAATGTACTAAATGTACTCAATAGTTGTCTGGGTAGAGTCATAACCTTTGTCCTGAATCTGACGCCCTGTATTGTTTTGTTTTGCTTGACAGTCAGTGGGAACGATCAGCGAAGTGGAAGAGATGGCCCTGAACAAGCCGAAGGAAAACACGAAAGCCACCTCATAATCCACATGCTCCACATGCTACATTTTTTATCTGTTAAGGTAGCATTTCAACCTCATTTGTATTACTGGGTTAAACGAGGCCCGACACAGTAACATTTGGTTGTATAATATACAAAAATACCGTGTGTATAGGATATGCACTAAATAACTTACCCAAGAAAACGTACATCAAACATATGATACAAGACAAGTTTTTGTTCCTCTACAATAATGCTATGAGTGGCTATCTACACTGGTAATATGAATCACTGACAAGAACCTGGACATGAAGGTTTGTGTAACTCAATTTTTGTCACACCTGGGCGAGGTTGTACAATTGTACACTTTGCCCTATTTGCTCTTGCCAAACGTGTGTGTATGTACAAAGAGGCATTGTTCTAACCACTGTTGCGTAAACACGGTTGCGTAAACTGTGCTTGTTTATGATATGTACCTTCCAAATAGATAATATTCAGTTCATTTCTATGTAAGATAATGTAATATGTCACTGTATAGAAAACCTAGTGTGAAAACCTAAGATATAAAAGAGGTAGTTATCCTACAAAAATGGTGTTCATACGCATGGCTCCCGCTGCTCATAGGTAACAGATTGTTATTCAAGTGACCTGCTGTTCACTCAATACGAATAAAGGAGACTTTCATTACGCTTATCAACAGTTTAGTCTTTGACTTGATCTGCTCTGACCACGGGCCCTTATCGGCGTCTCTTAGCAACTCGCGAGTGTTGTTGTTAATGTTCCAACACATCGATCTCCAAGGGGACGTATTGTTCTGTTCCTTCTCTATGTCTTTCATGTGACACAATATTTCTGCATTCCTCTCAAATATAAGACGTACAGAAAATTAAAGAGCACTAACATATGCTTAACTGCAAGAAAGTAACAGAAAAAAAACTGCTCTGGAAAGTCCAGAAAAGTTTGAAACAAAGGTAATCACTCTGATTTTAATGAGGAAGGGGGGGAATGTTTAAAAGAGCATTAGGTCATGTACAAGAAAGGACCTTGCAAAATGCAAACACGCCGTACAATGACAATGTTTTGTCGCTATGTCAACAAACGTTGCCATAAGGATCGCTATGGGCATTGGTAGACTACAGTGAACAGAGTGAACGCTGAGGATGTGTGGGCTCAGACCAGGAGTTTCTCTCTATTACAGTAATCTACACGTTATCCACAGGAAAGGCACCAAACTATTGAGGTACGTTTGTTATTTTTGGTTCACTTACGTATGTTAATATCAATGTTTTATAGTAACATCATTTCCCCATATCCTTCGTGCCCTTGTGATTCTGACACGACGGCCAAATGATATGCCTAGTTGGAGTGTGATGAAACGTGGACTACGTAATTTCACTTGATACCTCATTGTCATTACCTATGCAATCTTAAGAAAACCCTTTCTACTGTCCTGTTCAACACTTTTATCCAGACGTTTATACGAACACATCCGTAACAACTACTCTTAAGAAGCTAAGCTTTGAAGAGTTGATTGAGACAAAATGTCCGAATGGCTATCATAAACAACTTCATCACCTCTCCTTTCACATCACGTTTCCCCACTGTAAAATAGATTACTGGATGATTGACAATAACAATAAAATTGGATCACTTGAAAACGGAAACAAAACACGCTTTTTAGTGTTTAGTGTGAACGAGACACGACAACAGATTACTGTGCGTTGTTCATTTATTTTTCGTTTCTGTGGATTCTGGGTAAGATACTAATTGTTGATGACGCATTGGCTATATGTCAACCTGTTTAACATTCTTGGTGTTGCAGTAACCTTTTTGTTACAGTTTTAAGCAAGACCGACATGGGGTGTGGCACGTCTGTCCCACAACAGCGGACACTGGTGGCCAAGGTATTTCTACATAACACATGCACCGCATTTAGACTATGTAGTCGAAATCATTGTGTTTCAAACACTTACCTTTTCTACTGTTGTCTTTGAAGAGTGACAACTGGTAGAAACAGTATCCATGCATAATCACGGTCAAACATTCTACATACGCCTTTCTATACACGCTATTACGTATGAAACAAATAGCAAAAGGCGCGTGAGGAACAAATACACAGAGAAGTTGCAACATGTAGCGTATCGTATTTTGCAAGCTATAAGGAATTCCACCCAACTATAACACTCCTTGGTTAGGTTTAAATTTACCCCTCAGCAACCTTCTGTTATCCTTATTCAAAGAATAAGACAGCAACGCTACCTGCCTGGCTGCCGGGCGTGACGGGCGAGGAGAGGGAGGGTTGGCCGACCTACTGCCGAGTCTGCGATCTAGTCGACCATGGGCAGGTGAGAACTGGAACATGTCTTATGTCACCAGACACCTGTTCGTACACATGATACACATTCCATCATGAGTAGTGTGAAAAAACAGACGTAGTCCAGGCAACATCAAAGCTGTCACAGATAGAGGAATTCATAGAAAGTGGACTAAAAACGGACGGACTAGACTCCTGGAATTGTTGCAACATCTCCAGAAGCATTTTGTCGACATGCAGTTCGTCGAGATAATTGATAAAATCATCTATAGGTCACAGTTGTCACAATACTGGAACATCAACAATTAGTCGCTAACCATTAACTTTCGTAGATGAAATCAAGTCTCCAGCCTTTTGGGATAGCGCGCTAAAGTTGGTTGAAGCCCTGTCTGTCTCTACTTGCCCCAGGTTGAAGCGCCCACATCGTCAACTCCTGAAAAGATGCTGACGTATACGGTACTGTGCAGCGATGACGCCATCATACACGTCATACACAAACCCGCCATATTTGGACATAGCAATAGATTTGACCACCTCGACCGCCATGCAGCAAAAGTAAGCAAATACTTTTTTATAAAGTAAGGTAATTGCTTAATTAATGGCAGCCAAATTAAGATTTTAAGCAATGTGAAATCGGTCTATCTATGTCGCAAAAAAGTATAGAGCACAATCAGGGTCGTCACAACCATTCAATATCATACACGTAAAACATTCCTCGCAATGCATAAGTCTATTAATTGTATAGAAACGCCCCCTGGCAACACTAAGGCATCCCTGCTTTGCTACTGGTTCTTTTGTAGGCCCCTCCCTCGCTTCACGGCGACTTCACGGCGTTAGTGGCATATCTGCTGGGGCCGGCCCGTACGGAGCTGGAGCGGGTCCGGGTACTGTTCACCTGGATCACCTGCCAAGACGGGGTCAACACGGAACACACGGACAGCGCAGGGGAAGACACACCTGGCTGGTACCTGTACAAGATGAGCGAGAGTGAAAGTTACTACCACCTGCTGTTCTCTACTCTCTGCAGGTATGCATAAGAACACATATTATGTGTTAACCTGTTTACATTTCAAAGTAAAACTAAACATAAAGTCATTAAACAAACAACAGAATGATTACGACTGATTTACGACAGTCTTGTGACGGAAATGGTCGCAGGCCCTAATTGTTAGCGGTCAGTTCTGTGACCTGGCTGAACATCGTGTGATGATATGTGGCCGTGGCTCAATGACATGATGATGTTCACAATTACGACACAGGTATTGAATTTTGCATAGTACGATGTTTTCCAAATTTGTTTCTCACAGCCATGCAAGTGTGCGTCATCAGACCATCCGTGGGTACGCAAAGACCGCGGACAAACCCCCGAACACGCAGTTCACGGGAACATCCCCCACCAAGCTGTGGACGGCTGTCTGCATTGACGGAAGATGGGGCATCGTCGATACTCATTGGGGCAGCCGTGACTCAACTGAAAACATCACGTCATCATCTGACGACACAAACCCACACAACTGTGAGGATCACACTAACGAGTTCTACTTCTTACCGCATCCCGCGCAGTACCTGAGCACGTGTTGCCCGGAGCAGCCGAATTGGCAGCTCGTTCTGAGCCCGATCGACATCCATGACTTTGAGACCCATGTTCAGTGCTGGCCCCACTTCTTCGCGTTCGGTCTGTCGCTGCTGAGTCACCACCAGGGGGTGGTGCAGACGGAGGATGGGCAGGTGAAGATCTATGTCGGCTGTAATGCGGAGGACACTCAGGAGATACATTTTGCCTACAGCCTGACGGAGTCTTCGGGATCAGACAAGAGCGGAGGGGCATCATTGGACAGATTTGTGCTGCAAGAGAGGAAAAGAGACGCTGTAGTGTTCAGCATTCAGCCACCGCAGAGGGGCGAATACCTCTTCGAGATCTTCGTTGGCCGCAATGAAGATAAGACGTGCTACACCGCTTGTGAATACTTGATCGTTTGTGTTGAAACTAGCAAGGATGTTTGCCCTCTTCCCGACTGGCCGGGCGACTGGGGTCCTGGGAACGAGGCGGTTGCCATGGGACTCGTCCCGATCTCCCACCCAGCGTCTTGTGTCCGCTGCCACAGCACGGAGGCGTCGGTAGAGTTTTCCTTGTCAAGCGAACTGGAGTTCCTTGCCAAACTGTTCGAAGTCAACACGAAGGAGACGCGTCTTCGACGATACGTCGCCCACGAGGTAGTTAATGGCACTGCAACCTTCCACGTGATGCCTCCTAAACAGGGAACGTTTGGACTCGCAATCTATGCCAAAGAGCGTGGGCAGACAGGAGCCTTTGCTGCTATGTGTAGCTATCTGACGATAGCGGAAGAGATGGGACAAGATGTCACGCCGTTCCCTGACGTTCCCAAGGGATCGTTTGGGCCGGTTCAACCCCGCTTTTCGGACCTCGGACTGAGAACAGTAACACACCCCAGTGCCTTCGTCGACTGTGAGTCAGGTGAACTCGACTTGAGACTCGGTATGTCCAGAATTCTGCAGTTCAGTCATCAGCTGTCGCTGGAAAACGACGATGATTTTGGAAAGTACGTCTTTCGGCAGGTCGTAGACGAAGAGGTCCGGTTCTTGGTCCGCTTCCCGAAGCAGGGAAGGTACAGACTAGCCATCTCGGCAGGGGAGGCGTCTCCTGGTGAAGAGGTTCAGAACGTCTTCAACTACTGTATCAGCTGTACCGGTACAGTGTCGCATGACGTGCAATCGTTTCCTGATGTGGCCGGGGGCCAATGGGGAGAGAGATATCCTGCCTGTGGTGACTTCGGCATCTTCCCAACTAGCCAACCAAATGCGTACATAGAAAACTCCACTGGCGCACTGGAGATCGAGATGGAATCGGAGAAGCCCTTGGATCTTCTCCACCTATTCCAGCGGTGGGAGGGAGGGTCTCCACCGGAAGATCTCTCTCAGTGCGTGAAAGGAATGGGCGGCGAGGATGAGGGCAGGGTGGGAGTTAGAGTCTCTTGTCCCCGGGATGGAGAATACAGCCTAGAGCTTTTCGCAAGAACGTCCGAAGACGAGGAACCCGTCAACGTGTTTAACTACTTCATCAAGTGCAAGAAAGAGCCAACACCATCTACTGAAAATGATGACCAGGCCCAAACCACTGCCCAAACAGAAGCAATCCCGACAGAGGCGACTCCAGGAGAGCCCGGAGAAGGCAGTGAGACCTTTACCCTGCTCGGTTTGTCGAAAAAGAGCCACCCGGACACAAACATAGTCAACAAAACAGGCGAACTTCACATCACCCTTGGAAAGACCAAACCTTTGACATTTTCACAAAAACTCAGCAAGGAGACAGAAACAGGCACTGAAGAGATGGACGACTACGTTTTCAGACAGGTGCTCA